ATCATCATCATCATCATCATCATCTCTTTCTTATTAATTATAGAGACGACATTCTCAACGCAATCATTTTTCTTAAATACCTAAACGCTATAATCTCTTTTTTTAAACGTCAAACCACTTCAAAAAAAGAACGTCTTCTCATGCGTAAACTTCGTAGAATAATTTAGAAAGTTTTTTATTCTTCTTCCTTTTCTTTTTTTTTCTAATTATATTTCAAGTATTAGACACCGATTAGAAGAATTTTGTTTGTGAATAAAATTAATGAAATTGTTGCGTGTGTGATTAATAATTTGATAGATATTTCTTATAAATTTCTATATAATTATTATTATTTATTGTGTCGTTAAAGAATTAACATATAAAAGAAATTCATTTTCTTACCAAAAAAAGGAAACAAATTTCGTATAATTCAATATGTATGTACATATATAATTATGTGTTTCTTAAATCAATAATAATCCGAAATATTTCAAATGATATAAAAAAAAAGGATAAATATGATATACATATATTTTTTAAGACAAAAATAAAGAATAATAGAAAAAGATTGAAAATAATGTTAGAAAGTAGATATCGTTAGAAAGCAAATAAATCGATATTTGATCGTAATCTAATGAATGAATAAAGATGATAGAAAAAAGAAATAAAAATCAAAATTACCGTTAATAGGAGATATTCGGTGATAGAAGAAACCCAATATAGGCCGACGAGGTCTTCCAACACTAATTTATTCTTCAGGTCATTGACCCAACGCTATAACAGGTTAATTGCATCAAAAGATTTCGTTAACGAACTTTATTGTTTCTATGTTGGTTGTTGTTGTTGTTGTTGTTCTTGGAACAAGCCATAGATATACATACCTATACCTGACGCAATCTGACTATTATCTTAGAAAAGAAGAACTCTTTACGATGCCGTTCGAGCAAATCCGGCAAAATTGAGTTCATCGACTTCCGGAAGTGCATTATGTCTTTGTCGAACGTTCGTGCCACCCCCCCCCCTCATTCTCGATCGTTTTCGAGATAAATATCGCGTGAGGGTATTACAAATTGATGTTTCCCCATCTAAAACGGTATCTTCTACGATTTAGGTAATCTCGTCTTACGTAAAAGAGTGTATTCTTTTTTTTTTTTTTAAGTTTCCGTTCCTCGATCAAAAATAACGAGCGTATATAGATATGATTATGTTAAATTTTGATTACCGAACAAGACCGGTGAAATTTCAAAATTTTATAATAGTTTTTTTTTTTCTAAGTTGTACGATATAGATGATGATGATAAGGATTATTATCATGATGATGATGTACTCTAAAAAAAGAAAGAAAGTACTTCGAATGAATTTACTTTTTTTTTCTTCTTCTTCTTCTTCTTTCTACTTTTTGAAAACATCTTATCCGATTGATAATCATCATTCTCAGTGTTACGAAGTGAAATCACGAAATCACGATTAAATTGAAAATTTATGGTATACGTTGTTTGTGATATTTAAAATATTTTATTTTATTGTGGAGTTTAAAACAAGAAAAAAAAAATAGAAAATAATAACGAGATAAAATCGTGCGAGATAGGCCGGTTTAGTTAATTAATTAAACATTTCGCAATGTCTCAACATTATGAATTCTATCGGTCGAAATACAGGAAGAAGACAATTTGCATGAAGATAATTTGTAAGCTGGAACATGTGTCAGGGGTCTGGTTTTCTTCGCTAAGATTCTCGAAAGTGAAACTCATTGCCGAAAGTGCACACGGTGGACATGTAAAAAGAAAGAAAGAAAGAGAGAGAAAAGCGTCACACCTGCGCTAACCTTCCCTCCTCCCCCCCTTTTCTCTCTCTCTCTTTCCTACTCTCGTGTATATGCTTCATCGAAATTAATGGACACTGGACCAATCGAGATGAAGATGCTTGTAAAATTATTTGGTCGTTTAGAAAGTTCTCAATGATGTATTCGTACTCATTCAATGTTTGAAACAACCGACTTTGATTTTTTTTTCTTTTTTTGACTAATTCAATTTATAATAGAAAAGTTACACATGGGCTGTTCTTTTTTTTTTTTTTTTAATTCATTTTATTTATTTCAATAACGTGTATAATAAATATTCGTAATATTCTTATTAATTTTATAGAGACATTAATTTTAACGAAATATTAACTTCCAAAGAGTTCAATGAAAACGATCTATGAAAATTTATATTAAGAAAAAAAAATAATAAAATAATTTATACAAAAGACACGTGTACAAAAGTTACGTGTTTCCAATTGCGAGGAATAAGAAAGAAAAAAATTCTAAATTAGTAAAAAATTATTAAAAGAAAAAAAAAAGATTAGAAAAAAGGCAAAATCGTTGGAGTAAATTCTTTGTGTCACAGTCAGTTTATATTTCTTAATATTTCTAACAATTAGTGTCTCATTTGTAAAAGATTAAATTTGTCCGTTTTCGAAATATGTAATTCCCATAATAATACATGACCATTTACGGTCACGTATATTGTATGTATACACCATACGTAAATGCTTTCACGCCTATTAATAATAAGAAAAACGAGAGAGAGAGAGAGAGAGAGAGAGAGAGAGAGAGAGAGAAGTTCGTTAATTTTAAAATTATATATAAGCATGAATACACAAACTTCACGAACTTCTTCGGCACGTTTCATGCATGCATGCATGCATGCATGTATCCATGTAGAAAAGTATTATTTGCTTTTGTTTACTCGAGGTACGATACGGGTGCGGTGTGCATATTCGCAGTTATGGCTTTCTTTCTTTGTAAATGTCAGCGGATATTTTCTTTTACCATGATGTTGAGAATAATATGGCTTATATACCTGTCATTCGTTGAAATAACAATAACGATCTCCTGTCAACTTCTTTTTTTTTCTTCACGAAATTATGGACGATTAATGCGAAAAATATTCTTACATTTATTCTTAATACTAAATGTCGTATTTAAGAAAATCAAATATTATAAAAAAAATACAAAGAATATATTTTGTTGTAATAATATTTTTTTTTTATTTAATATAATATAAGTTGTTATTCTATCATTTTCATAAGATTTGTACGTGAGTGATGTTAAATTTTGTTCAGCTTCGACGAAGGAAAAAAAACAGAATAGTATACTTTTTGTTTTTTAAACAAAAGTAAGTTAGTTCGATCGAAAAAAAAATAAAATTATTTCTAAGCTAGATTAAAAACTTTTCAACTTGTCCATGTTTATGTATGTGTGTGTGTGTATGAATTTTTCTTTGATAAAAATCATCGAATTTTAAATTATATAAATAAGAATAATATATTCAAGTTAAATGGAGAAAATTATAATGAATGCTTATACTAAGAATATTTTTTACACTAACTGTACGTAGTTATTTCGTTATGAAAAGGGTTATCATTTTCTACCGACGAAAATATTGAGAATAATAAATGTATACATAAATATATGTTATATTTAAATATATACATATTCATTCTCGTAGAATATCTAATTATTATAATATAATAAATTATGATAATTGATCGCGTGTTAAAGTTAATATCACGAGAACGAAAAATCAAATCAATTTTATTAAATTTCATGAATAAACGCGTGCATTTCAATAAATTTCATAAGAGAAAGACATTTATTTATCTGCAAATAATTAGAAATTAACCGATAAGAGGAGGACGTTATAGTAATCACAGAAAATGAAATATTAAAACGAGAGTGTATCTCATTTTTTTTTATCTTTTCATTTATTAATAATTATCTCAATTATGATCGTTGATAGTACGTTAAATGGAGATCTAATTATATGGCGGTAAGGAGCAGTAATTATACGAAGGATATGGAAATAAGTATCTTTATGGCGATGATTATAACACTGCGAAAATTATCCTATAATTTGTTATTAATAATCAAAAACATCTTGAAATGATAATGATTTTTTTTAATTTATCGGAAAGACATTTTTTATTTTTTTTATTCTTCTCCTCCTTCCCCCCATCTTTTTCCTTTACCTCGAAAAATATGTTCGATGCAGATTATCTTCAACCGAAAACCACGAAGTGTTTATTCGCGAAGAGATTGAAATTAAATTAATTTTTACTTAGATCATCCAGGGATCTACTACGTTAACTGATTTCACGATATAATTTCACTTCTCAGGATGAAAGTTCTCTAGTCGTGTTTCAGTAAGTTGATTTTTTTTTTCTTTTTTTTTTTATAGAAACGTGCGAAATTCACTTACGCGACGATAAAAGAACCGAACCCATACTGATGAGAAGAACTTTTTAAACCAAACGTTTTATATATATATATATCGTGCGTAAAGTATAAAAGGTTTTATTTGAAATCAACAAACTGATGTTGAAAAACGTGTAACTGTGAGAAAATATCAATTTTGATTAATACGTATTATTTTTATTTTATTTCTTTTATTCGAATCATTTTTTTGAGTTTAGTTTTTTCTTTTATATATATATGCGTATATTAATTACATGTTTGAACAATTAAGAAAGAAAACGTGCATCAATAATCTCTCATTAGGCGTGTATTTCTCTTTATCACTTCATTTTATTATTATCCTACTTCGTTCACGTTCCAACGTAGAAATCTTTAACGTCGATGATACTTTTTTTATTTCTTTTTCTTATTTTCTTATCTCGTGTCAGTCCTTTTACGATTAGAATGAAAACCATTTTATAATATTTGATTAGGTATTAATTCGAGAAAGATAGGTAAGATGGGTGCGTAAGATTTTTACTCGTTTGGTAGGTATACGACAAACTTGTGCCTAACACGCGCATGCACCTATTGCATAATCATGTAAAACTCGTTGTTCACGCGTTTAAAAGGAAAGTCAGGGTGTTTACTGTGGTTTTTAGGAAGAGAGAAAATTGCTTTAGGTTACTTACAAATCATACTAATGTCATCAAAGAAAAACTACAACAAAAATACATTAATAATAATAATAATAATAATAATAATAATAATAATAATAATAATAATAACCATTACGATGTTGCAGATAGATATTGTGATCGTTGCCTTAGCAGTGGTGTCGGTTGATCATCGATCGACAGCCAACGAGGATGTTGGAAATTTATCCGAAAGTAATTTGGACGTTCCAACAGCTGCAATGAAATTGGATAAAAATTTACGTCGAGCATTATTAAAGGCTTTAACGGATTTAGAAGCGGAATCAGTTGAACAAAGGAAAAACAACGAGGAGCCTATCGCACAAGCTTACACGTCTAATCAATTCCAAGACATTTCGAAAAAGGATTTAAACAAGAAAATTGGCATCGTTCAAAAATCAAGTTTTTCCTTCGATGGATTTCCCGGAGACGAAGAAATACCCAGCGAGGATAAGCTTCAAAATTCGAGTTTCGTTCAAACTGACAAATACGTAATCATGTCCAGTTCACCATCTATGACTATAGAAAAAGCTACGAAAAACGATGCTAGAAGTTTTCACGTTCAGAATATTATTATGTCTGATAAGAATCAAGCATTGAAGGCTGGACCTAAGATAGAACAATTAGAAACAAAGAAATCAAACGGTGATTCTTATGTTTCTTACGTTAACAAAGTAGATAGTATAACTTTGAAACCTTTGACTGAATTAACAGAAGGTCTTACTGGTGTTGCTAGCAACGGTATAGCATTAGCAAATTCATTACCTTTACCAAAACCAACGGCATCCAGTCCTACAGACTCTCCTAAAATAAATGACACTTTAATGAATGGTAGTAAAATAATAGAGAAATCTGAAGAGGTTAAAATATTTCAAGCACCATTGGTAGCAGCATTTACTGTTCAACAAGATGAAAGTGGTGCACCTAAAAGCGTTGTACCTATCTTTAAACCAACGGGAGATGGTCAGGCATTGACTTTGCAAGAACAATTGGAATTTAAGCAAAGACTTTTGGAGAAACAATTGGAAGAATTGCAACAACAGCAACTTCAACAAACGCAGTTTCTTATCAGACAACGTCATCTTTATGAACAACAAATTAGGCAGAAGCAACAACAACAATATTATCTTCAGGAACAAGCAAGAATCAAGCAGATTGAGGAACAAGCAAAATTAAAACAATTGGAAGAACAGAGATTGAAGCAATTCGAGGAACAACGATTGAAACAGTTTGAGGACCCACGAATCTTTCGGTTTCAACAACAATCTCTACCATTGCAACAACAACCTGTACCATTACAACAACAAAAGTATCGTTTCTTTGAACAGGCTACGAATCTTTTAAATATTCCAACACCGGCAGAATCCAACGTTCGTTTACAACCCAGTGTCTCGTTAGAAGTACCAAATATCATCGTTCCACCTCCTTTCAATTTTCAAGACCAACTAAGATTTCAACAACATCGTCAGCAGCAATTACAACCGCAACAACAACAACAACAGCAGCAGCAACAACAACAGCAACAGCAACAACAAAGATTACATCAAAGTTTTGGACCCATAACAGATTTCCAACTACCTGTAGCAGCATCAACTAGATTTAACAGGCAAGAAGCTTTCAACTCTGTGGGTAATTTTGGCTTTAACGAGAAACCTTTAGCCACTAGGAATACATTTACCTTTGGTGTACCACAAAGAAATCCAATTAATTTCGTGTATAATCCTTACACTCACAATCAGTATAGACAAACAAGACCACAGCAAACACCAGCAAAACAAATCCAACATCTTCTTTATCAATCAGGTATCGCTGGTGAATTAGGTAATGCTGAAGGTTCTGGTGGTCAAGAAGATTTAAACATCGTTTCTAAAGTTTTAGCATTAAACGTGGGTGCCATACCCAATAAAAATCTTCATTTTACTACGAATAACCGTGTTAATAACGGATTTGTCGCCAAAGTTCCCGCTAATGCGTGAAATATATGATTATAATGAAGGAAGATCCAGACGAGTCATGTAAATTACTACAAGACGATATTAATTATGTCGAGCTCTCTGTCACTATCATATTACCTTCTTTTATTTCTTTATCTTTTCATTATACATTTTTCCATATAGATATATACATATATATTTCAACAATAGGCAACTCACAAATTTGTTACAATATATATGACGCTAGAAACGATCTTCCGTTAGCTCAGGTTGTTCGTTATTTTTCACGAATGAACATTATTCCATAACGAACATAATCGTATTTAATTAATTACGATTGCGAATATCGAAAAAGAAGAAATAGTAATGAGTTATGCAAAACGTGTGCAAAACTGTAATATTTTACTCCTACATTGCACACAAACAAATTTTTGTAAATAACATGTTTGTTACTTATACATTTGCATAAACGCATATCTAATTCTTATTTTATTTTATCTTTATCTATCGTTTCTATTAGATGGAAGAACAACAAAATAAAAAGAAAACAAATAAACCAAACAACAAAAAATGAACGAAAAGAGATACGTAAGAAAATGATTCCAATGAAATGAAACGTTTATTCAATCGTATCAAAATTTTGGTTTTTTTTTTTAAATCTTGATAATACATATTATTTTTTATCCTCGATTTAAACTAGGCAAGCTCATATATTATAGTTCTAAATAATAGGTCATCGAGATAAGAAATAACGTGCTCTTCTTCTTTTCTTTTTTATTGTTTTTTTTTTTTTCAAAGATTAAAATGTTCCACGAAATCGTGCATCGGCGACGCGTTCGATATTGAAAATCGCTTCTCCAGCTGTAAATAAACTTTCCCCGACAAAGATATACGTCGTACAATACCGACAAAAGGAAGAGCACGGATATATATATATATATATATATAAGAGAAGAGATATTTTAGCGAGTGCGCGCGCGTGCAACCGAGAACGTGGTATATATATACGCTCATGTCCTCAATTTCACAAACGTATGGCATAGATTCGTGATTTCTCTCTGCGAGCTAATCGGCGAATTCTCATTGAAGAATCATCCTCAGATAATATCTTTTTTTTTTTTGAGGACATCATTTTTCTTTTCATATTTTTGCTAATATGAAATTTCTTTTTTTTAATTGAAGTATAAATATTTTTCGTTTGACTTTTGAGTTTGTCGTTTAAATTTGACTTCTTTTAAAAACTCGCGTATGACGTTAGATAATATTATATAGTTTAATAATAGTTATGATATATTAATGTAATGTAATGTAATAATAATAATAATAATAATAATAATAATAATGATAATAAAAATTATTATAATAATAGATATATATATATATAATTGACAATTATCGCTTATAATTTATCTGACGCCAATTTGTACGAGTTATTGTAAGAATGTTAATAAACTAATTCGTTTCACAAAAGTGTTTATAAGATGTGTTAAACAGTATACTAAATTTTATTTTTGATTTCAAACAAATTATTATATAAAAACAGATGATGCAATTGGGAGAGAAGCTGATTATATTATAATAAAAAAATAAATCGAAAGAAAGGAATAAGATTTGTTTTTGTTTAAGATTTCGTTTTCGAAAATTTATTATGTAAATATCTTTTACTATAATCAGATTTATGATAATCATTTAAGAAATTGCATTCAATTAACCTCTACTCTCTGTTTTCTATGACATCCTTCATATGTAAAGTCAGTAATAATTATTATAAATATTAAAGTACATGATTTTAATATAAAACAATCAACTCTCTCGAATAGTTATATCGCAGTTATTTAAACATAAATCGATAGTATGCAATAACACGTTTCGATACTCGCCGAAAGTGACATCTAACGTAGCGCCAAAGTAACCAACATGTCGGAAGACAAAGTAGGATCGCTAGTGGAAGAAGCTTTAAAACGAAAAGAACGCTTGCAAGCGCTTAAAAAAAAGAATGAGGAAGGCAAAGATATTAAAACTGATACTCCCAGTAAATTACCAATGTGAGTTATTACATTTTATTCTTACTTGCGCGAAAATTTTCCTAACCTAACCTCATTTTTTTTGTTTATATACATTTGTCGTTCTTAGGCCAAAATTTCGAAGTTACAAACCACAAGACGAAAGTCTCAAAGAAAAAGTATTGGAAAATGCAAAACCAGGTGATGTGGAATCCGAAGTTCAAGATCAGTTGAGTGCTGCAAAATCTAAAGTTGTTATCGAAGAACTTGTAAGTAACTTATTACTATACATTTGTTATTATTTGCTTATCTCGATCGATAACAAATTATATAAAAATATTATATACATAAAGATATTATAGAACTTGTAAGTAATTCAACTATCTATTTACTAGTTTAAAACGCGAATTAAATTTATACGATTTATATGTGCATGTACAAAATTATTATCAAAGAAATTGTAAATGGTTTATTACTACAAGCTTGTTATTATTCACTTATTTTTGATCGACTAACTATTTCCTAGCTTAAAAGTAAGTATAGATACTTTGATAGTATATGTAGATAGTATGAAGTATAGATACATAATACTGTATATGCTACCGTATTATGCATAAGAATAATATATACTTCAAGACAATTGCCTTTATGTATATTTAACGTTATATAATGATTAAATTTTATTGTTCGGCAGGATATAAGTAATTTGGCTCCACGTAAGCCAGATTGGGATTTAAAGAGAGATGTTTCTAAAAAATTGGAAAAATTAGAAAGGAGAACTCAAAAAGCAATTGCTGAATTAATTAGAGAACGCCTTAAACAAGGTCAACACGATTTAGCCTCAATGGTTAATATGGTAGGAAAAGATGACGATGATAATAATAAAACTTGACAGTGATATATATCATTTCTTTTTTCTTTGCACTGTATCAAAGAAATTATTCCATGAACGTACAAATTATAAGCTATTAATGTCTCTTTATCTTAGTACAGTTTTTATATGAAAGTTACTAATAAATTATATACTTTATTAAGTATTATTAAATCGTAAGGATATTTATGAATGTTACAAAGAGTTAGGATATGATGAATACATGATGAAGTAAAAAAGAAATATAATTTTTTAAGATTAACTTAGTGTTTTTTTACTATTTACTGTTTTTTAATTTATTACATAAATACTTACGTCTACAGTATTATTATTGTATTTAAATTATGAAGATATGTAGTGCTATGAATTCATAATTTGTTTTTTTGTAAATGAAATTATCAAATATAGATGCTGAGTACAAGAAAAGATGAAAATATAAAAGCATACAGATTATTCGTAATTGATAGATATTTAGATGACGCTATATAAAAAAAATTATATCGTCAGAATTATTAAAACGTATGTATTACGAATGACATGTTTGCATTTAAATGATAACAAAATAGTCATCACGCATAAAATAATTTATGTATACACACGCACACACAATCATAAGTTTATAAAATAATCTTTTTTGTAAAATCGTAGAAGTGCGATTATTATACGCTTGACTAGAATACGTATTTTTTCGTACTCAAATAGTTATTAAAAGCATTGAGACGAAAAAGATAACCAACATAGTTACTTTATTATGAATAGAAAGTTCACCGTTCTGTGAGTTATCTTTATTGTCGATCGGAGGTTTATGCGAGTTTTCGTTGTCTAAAATGTTATGATAAACCAGTCGATCGAATAATGGTTGTACCGGCCGAAAATTATGTGTTAATTTTTTTCCCTCGGACGAACGAAGGTTACGAAATGCAGCCAACTGAAATTATAATTATGTAATATCGTTAAAACGACATATATTACTTTCTTTTAAAAAAAGAAATATCTATAAAGAAATCAATATACCTGTTCGTGCGATAACAATTGAGGATCTTTAAAATCGATCCACGTGACTACTTCAGAACAAGGTGGAGTAGTCAAGGAACCATTATAAGTAAAATAATTAGCTATAGTAGAATTATTTGGTCGCAATAGGTGTTCTAACAGCAATGGTTCTTGTAGTTCATGTTTGCTATTAACCATCTCCACATTTGGTAATGCTTCAACTATAGCATTGTAAGTCGGATTTTCTTTATCGTCTGCCTATATAAAACATAACAACGTTAACAATTATGATGAAATATCTGTGATGCTAATTATGACAATGGACTTATGTAAAAATGAACAAATTGAAAACATTGATTTTACGATTCATCATATATATAATATAAATAATTGTAATATAAAATAAATTATAAAATCAATTTTTTCGGTCAGTTCAATGGCATAAAATCCATTACATACAATTGAAATACTTAAAAAAAAAGCATTCTTACCTCGTAGAAATATGCAAAAACAGCAAGTCCATCCGAATGATTGACCGCAGCAGCCATCGAATCGTATTCCTGTTTATAGAAGACTGCATGGAGTTCCATAGCAAACGGATGATTATTGATGTAATCTTCCGATCCTTTAAAATCGTTCTCACCCCAATGAAAATGAAGTTGTTCGAAAACGTAAATGTTGTTACCAAGAGGACCACCGGAAACCAAAGCTGGATCTGACTTGTTGTTAGTCTGGATCATCACTGATTAAGTAAGATCAGATTATTATTTTATTGCGCAAGTTAATATATTCTTTCACATATTGTAGATTAAAAATCGGAATTTCCGTGATTACAAACATATATGTATATCACGTGCAACGCGATGTAATCATTTTCGAAGGAAATCTTTTATTATAGAAAAATGAAATCTCAACAATAAAGTAAACGACTAATAAGATAAATAATAATATTCCAATAGTAAGTCAATACGATTAACTCTACTTTAAATATTTTGAAAAATTTTATTATCAAAACATTTGATTGATACTTACCGTAATAAATTTGATTAATAATTAAATTGAACATTATTAAATGATGATATGTTTTTTTTCTTTTTATAATCGTTCAATAATAAATGATATGACTTACATTGTTATAGCTACATTACTTGATCAATTCTTTTTCTATTTTTTGTTAAGTCGAGTTAATCGATGTCGTAAATGATGAATTAATTCATGTGACCGTTTTATATATGATCACATTATCTCTTCACTAAATGTAGGTCATTTAATATATGTTATAATTTAAGCTTAAAAAAACTTTGATATATCGCATTGAAATAATTACGATATTTTTCTTTTTTATTTTATTCATAAAGTAAATGTTCGCGTACTTCGCGTTATTTTCTTACTAACACTGATAAGATATATTTTATTTTTATGTAAACGATATTCATATATATATATATATATATATATATGATCAAATAATTTGAAATAGATTTTCAAATAACTCACCAGTATGTCCATTGTTTGTTATTAAAGAAGTATGAGGAACTTCCAATCTTTGAAAAACCAATGGAGGGAAGATACGATTTTGTACATTATGTTCATCTATGTTAATGGGTGATTGATGTTTTCCAACGCAGGACTGATAATCTTCGGCCCAATGCATCGGTCCTGAAGTAAAAAAAGAAAAGAAATGTAATATAAATGAACTCACTATGAAACAAACGTCTTCCAGTTATTTTTCAAAATTTTTGGAAAAATAATTTTCCAGTTAGAAGAATATAACTTTTCAATTATCTTTCAAATAAAAGTAAAGAGATGATAAATGAAGGCAAGAGAAATAAATAAAAGATAATATATTATAATACTATTGAATGCTACGTACCGTGAATTCCATCGTAACTGAAGTCTTGAGCTCCATAAGAGAATTCTGAAAGTGAAACGAATGTTTTAGTTAGAAAACGATGATTCGTTAGAAGTACGTAGTATATATTTACATAATGATGAGGAAGAAAAGGAGGAAAAGGAGGAGGAAGGGAAGGGAGATACCACAGCCTTTCGCTGTGCTACGTTACACATATAGAAGATCAAAAGAAAGTATAAGAGAACAAAAAAAATATATTCTCGGTCGAAAGCACAAACAACAACCATCTCGTTCACTTTTGTACAAAGCATCAAGGTTTTCTTTAAAAACTGTTATATATCTAACAAAAAACGGATAACTCTGGGTCATTGTATTCTCACGATCGGTGAAGCGTGCAAACGAGCAAAGTATATTATAGTACCGATGCTTGCCTGCCTGCCTGCCTGTCTGTCTCCATGCTTATCCGTGGTGAAAACTTATCGTCGTGAATCGTAAATGATCGTCTAAGATCAATGATTTTTCTTTGATCTTTGAAATTGTAGAAAATTATAACGTCGACGTATAAATACATCCGTGTTCATAATAATCAAATAGTTTCAAATCAATTTTCTTCAATCTCGATAGAGAAATATATATCGTTATAAAAATTTAATTAAATTTCGTATGCGCGGTACTGAATGAAATTGCTTTGTAACAGATGAAATAGTTTTTTCCCCTTAACTAAAAATATATCTTTTATAATTATTACAATTTAATCTTCATAATTAAAAATTTAATTGTTCAATTCGCGTGAGATATATTGATTTTGATAAAATCAAAATTAAATTTTCATTTGTAAGATTTATCAGAACAAATATATATCAAGAATGCTGTAGGAAAATTTTCTATATTAATGATTAACTATGTTAATGCATGAAATATAAGAATAATAATAATAATGAGATAATAATGATGAAAATTTATGGAGGAAAGCCTTGAAAGAAACTTCTCGACAATTAAGCAAACAATGAGAAGATCACGAATTAACGTATCCAATTAATTAACGTTAATAGTTTTTTTCTGTCTAAAGACACCTCCCGAAGAATGAATAATAGCATTTTATCGTAGCTTTAGGGGTTTCTTATATGTAATACACGTGTACGACATGTGTACTAAAAGTGATTCGATTTATGGTAAACGACAATGGTTAGTCAGTTACAAAAAAAAATAATCCTTGATAAAAGAAATCATCAAATCAAATGTTAATTCATGCTCGTTAGATCTAAAAAGTAGATTTAAAGTATAAGATATTGAAGTTTATAGAAGAAATTTCAGTCACGTAATAAAGTCGTTTACGTTTACGTTATTTGCAATTTTGATTTTTCAATTATTAGAAATCCTTCGTTCTTCTAAGATTTAGTATGCCAAGGATATACTCCGGATATCCTTCCATTATATAAAAAACAAAAGAAAAGAAAACAAAAAGGAACACATAAAGTGCATCGCCGTTTATTTTATAACATATTAATAATCTTCGATAATAATTTAATATACTAAATGGATTTATAATAGTTCAGAAGAGGACGATCAAATATCGTTAAATAAACGATGAAACTTTAACCGATCGATGTCGTAAGACCCTGAGATATTACTCTTTCCCTTTTCTACAGTCTCACATGTGTTCGTGACATTGTGATGCATCTGAAAAATGCATGATCGTAGTTCATATATATATATAATATAAAAAGTTTTGCAAACTAACTTTTGCATTATTCTTTTATAACATAAAAATAAACTAGATGTAATTCTGCTTAACGTTAAAAATCGGGTTAGTAGTTTGTGCAATGAAAACAGTGTCCTCCATTTGTTTTAAATCATTTTCTTACTACAATAGAAGTAAATTTTCTTTGTTTGCAATTCTACATACGTCCTACGAACTAATGAGAAAAAAAAAGTAAAGAGAATATATGAATTTTGAAGTACACATGTATTATTCGCAATACATGTAATTGCGCAACTAAAGATTATGCGTAAAAAAGGAAAAAAAGAGCATGAGTCGGGGAAAAAAGTTGGTTATTTTCAATACTTCACTTGGAATTCAAGCGTTAATTGAATATTAAAATCGAACATCGTGAATCGTTAAGATCCTCATCATTCTAATGACATAACTTTCGACATATTTATATATAATAAATACTTGCACGCAAATATACTTATAACATATACGTATACGTATAAACGTGTTTTATATTATATTCTATGCACGTCATCGTCATCGTAATAGTATTAGTAGTAGTACGTAGAAAGTGCAACGAGAGTTAATCCTTTCTTTTTTTTCGTTGCACCTTTCAACGCCGGTTTTCGAACTCTCCTTGAAAGTTAATTTATACTAATTTCTATGGTAAAAAGAGATGCGGTTTTTTCGATGCTGCTAATGCTGTTTAGGCTGACTAATGCAATTCTTTTAAATTTATTTCTTTTTTTTTCTTTTCTTTTTTTTTTGTATCGTTAAACGATACTTACGTTGAGCTGATTATATTTTATCAACTCACGGTGTATGTTATTTCCTTAAATAGTCTGATAAAAAACAAAAACAAGAAAAATAAGAAATGTTACCTCGATTATCAATGACAAAATATTATTAATCTCATCGACAATGACATTTTTATACGAATTCGTAAAAATGTGCGTAATATCATCGAAGAAGCTCCGATTTCATATGTTTAGTCCGATTAGGAACAAGATACAGGATGTACGGTGTCCGATAACAGTTTTGCGAAAGGAGTTTAGTATCTTCTTATTTTCAATTTCAAGGTTCATTTCAGAGAAAAATGATGTAATTAAATATTTTTAATATTTTCGAGCTTATTTATTTATTTATATTTATTTATATATATATACGCATTATATTATAAATTTTATTCCAGTCTCTTATGTGTACGTTTCTTATCTTTCAGTTGAAAACGATTTTTTTAATTTCAAATGTATTTATTTAAAATAAACGCATGAAATTAAATTTTTAAATCGATAAATTTCTTAGTTTTTGATTTTTTTTTTCTTATCTAATTTTATATTACTATAAATTATATAAATTCAAGTTAATACGTATCATTTGTGTATATTTATTCCGTCTTCTTTTTTTTTCAAATTGAATTCAAATGATTATTATGATATTCTAGGTAATGACATCACCGTTTTATTTTCTCCTAAAGCGTCGCAATATCTATGGTTATTTTTTCTTTTTTTTTTTTTTTATGAATCAAACCTTCGTAATCCCTTATCATTATTTATAATAGCAATCGCCGGAGTGTCATTCGATGAAAAAAAAAATTATGTTTATCATACATCGTTGTATCGATACCGTAAAATACATCTATGGGAATTCATTAATAATCGATAAGAAAAATCATTCGAGTTTCTTTTGCAAATTTGAAGATTTTACCGATTTACTTGTATAATCATCGTTGGTATTCTAATTTTTATTAACACGTTTCTGTTTCAAAGTTTACAAAGGAGTATACTTTCGTATTACCGTACAATGATGAAATTAACGTTCCTTCGCGTACCATACGAATACGTTCACGTATTAGAACGACCAACGGTTCTTGATAATTATATATCTTCGTATTAAAAGAAATAAAACTTAAATCTTAATATATTTTAACTTTGATTACTATTATTAATAATAATAAAAAAAAAGAATCAAAAATTGAATATATATAATATAACCATATTAAGAGAAAACTAAAATTGAAAATATTTTTAATATCTCAATTTATTATTATTATTAATTTTAAAGAACAATTTTAATGTTTACAATATAATAATCTAATATATAATATATTATTAACTAACAGTTTGAATAAAATTATATTTTTGTATCGAACGATATCGTAGAAGATTTAATATATAATAATTTCTTAATAATTGTTAAAAACAAAATAAAGAACAATTGTACCAAAAAAAAAAAAAGAAAAGAAAAGGAGTATCACGAAATGTAAGATGGGTGACAAAGATCTGACTCAAGTTTCTAATGAGGAATAAAAATGTCGCGTCATATGGCAATTAATCAGAACGTAGATGTTGAACGATTAATTAAATATTTTTTTTTTCTAACTCTCGAAAGTACGAATAAAATCTTACACACATACACACACATATGATTTGCCTTTTAAGTATCATTGATGACTAGTAAACGTTTATCAATTATTATTCATACGGAAGTAAACGAATAGATACTTTTGTAAACGTAAACATAATATATATTAACGTAAAAGTATGATATTTAAAGAGTCATTAAAATTCCCATTATTCCTAGATCAGTAATCGATCGTGGAAAAAAAATATCAAAAGTCCAAATCATTTAGTTTAATCAATCAAAACGAAATGGAAATGTCGATGGGTTAATAACACGAAGGTATATAAAAAGGTATCAGAAGGTATTAAACGAAAAATTCATCGAATAAATTGGCACGATCTCATCGATTCTTATATAATCCGATCGAATACTTATCTATTATTATCTTATAATATGTATTTCACTTGGATAGATTCGATAAAAGTTAAACGTACTGTTTGACATATACTTCGGATTTATCTTAAGTTTGTTTCTTTTTTTTTTGTATTTCATATCTTCGTTCGATAAATAAAATCTTTTAAACAACGAACATTTACGATTAAATCTTTCGATTTCTTTGAAAAAACGAAGGATAAAAAGGATATATATATAGATAAGAAAGTAAATAAGATAGAGAGAGAGAGAAAGAGAGAGAGAGGATTAAAATACTTACTATTTAAAAAAAAAAGTCCAATAGGTATCGTCCAAAGGATCATCATGATGTTTTGCCAAAAAATTGATTTAATTGACACACCATCGAGAATCAAGATTTTTATTTTTAATTCGATCACACTCGACGAATCTTTTCTTTTCTTTTCCTTTTTTTTTCAAATACCTATCGACTACTTTTTCTTTCTATAGAAAGATTGAAGATCGAAGAAAATATTGATAACAAAAAGGGTGGATAACAACGTTGATGGTAAGAGAATGAGAATAAGTCTAATATACGGTCGACAGTCGACTGAACACTGGCCGGCTCTTCGACCATGTTAAATAAGACTTCTACCACTTCTAGTTCACGTTGTGGCGCGACTGAAAGAAGTTTTTCAACGATGACGAAGGTGAAGACAACTACGATGACGATGACGATGACGATGACTAGAACAAAGAAGAAAAAGGGGGAGAAGAAAAAGGCCCTTAAGATTAAGATTAACGTTACAATTAAATCGTACAAATTTGAAACGATTTAAATCAAACAAAGATTAATTCTTGGATTATATTTCGAGGTCAAACTCCTCTTTTCTCAACAAGTATTCATAAATTTGTATTATAATTTTCAAGCGTATACTTAGCATTTTATCGTTATTCGTATATAAGTTGATATAATAAGCCTTACCGAATTGTTCAACTCATTTAGCATACTCGTTTCCGTTAGGCTTTAACGTAAATTTCGAAGGCAAATATTCTTCGAGATTTTAGAACTGGTTTTTGTCTTTCCTTTTTTTCTTTTTCTTTCTTTCTTTTTCTTTCTTTTTTTCTTTCTTGCTTGCTTCCTTCCTTTCTTTCAAGGACATCCTCGGTTTCATTCGTAAGATTGCGAAGGAGAGAACATTGCACTCGAAGAAAAATAAAAGTTCAGTTTATTCTGGTAGTATTATTTCGGATAGAAATTTTGTTTAAATATACCGCCTCGATTCAATCACGTGATTGATTTTCAATCGATAACAAGTAAACATGTTTGCTTTAAGTGAATACGTCGTATTAATATATTCTGTGATTATAATTTATCTATGTATATAGATTTTGAAAGATTGATATATTTTTTACCACACTAATCTTTTTCAAAATTATATATATATATTATATATAATTAATAATATATTATATTTTTAATTAATAATATTAATTATCTAATTTATAATTAATAATATATTATATATATATATATAATTTTGAAAAAGATTAGTGTGGTAAAAAATATCGAAATGAACTAGTTATATACCCCTTTTCTTGCTTCCTTTCATTTTTGTTTATTTTTTTTTTTTTATGAAAGGGATGAAATCGTTTTTACATTGCATGCATGAATATTTTTATATTTTAGAACGTAATAGTGATTACAGTGGTTATTAATTAATCGTTATGAATAAACACGTTGAAAGTACACGTGTGAGATTGTAGAAATATAACTATGACATTGATGATAAGTATATATTCGAATAGGAATATTTATGATTTAGCATTATTTAAAAAGAAATTTAAATTTAATGTATACATAAATGTATATATATAAGTTACGAAGATTATTATCGAATAATATTCATAATATTTAGCAACGAAGAAGAAGAATATTTTCTATTTCGAAAAAAAAATATATGTGTATATGTTTTTTTTTTCCTAATACGTTGGGAATTTTTCACGCTCATATCTATCAGGGTCATTTATTGAAATTTCAAATTTACTTACATATGTTAAATTTCCTTTAAATTTGATTTAACGAAAGATCTCATCGATTCGATCGTAAACATGAATCTAAATCATACTAATCATATGATTTATTATTTGTATTAAAAAAAAAAAAGAGGATATTTGCTTTTAACAGCAAACAATATTGCAATTATTTGGTAAAAAAAACAAATTACTAAAAAAGTATTATTACAATTTACGATGGTTCATTATACGATAGTCATTTTTTAACTCCTAATTAATAATTACAGGAATCGTATTATATAAATTATTGCCAAATAATCAGTTTTACAATTTCTTCAAAAAGTTAGTAACTGCACTGACGTTCAAAGTAGTTATCTAAAATTTAAAAAAAAGAAACAATTTCTGGAGACGTCTAATGAAGATTATTTTTGATTTAGAGTAAAATATCTTAAATGATCTTGGGGAATCAAAATATTTACGTCGATTAAATGGCCAAACAATAAACGAAATATAACCGTTTAATAATTTAAAAAGAAATAAATGTCACCTTGAAATTTTTAATCTATATCCATCTAGATAAGATTTGTGACTAATTCAAAATGACCCCCTCCCACTCCCCCAAATAAAACAAATTCTCCTTGTAACACATTTTGCGAATAACGAATAATTTAAAATTAAGTATACAAATTTATATCTAACATCTCGTATATATCTAAGTATTATATTGATACATAATTTGTTGTTAGAATAAAGTCGTTAATAATGATTAAATACATTAATACAATATATAAAAACACGAGAATCCATCCATCATCGATTTATATTTTATGAAACTTCTTTAAATGATATCGCATTTCATAGCAAAATTAATTTATTGAAGTCGTTTAACTTCTTACACGATGTTTTAAAGAATACTTTCTTTAATCGAATCATAATTAAAATCTGTATTTACAGAAAATGTCGAAGCATCGCAAGGTTCTTTTCTTTCTTTTTTTTTACATGGATCTTGTACTCATTCGATAACGAAATTTATTTCGTTTGAAAAAATTCGTTCATATGTTTGTAGATAAGCCGAATATTTCAAAAAAAAGAAAAAGAAAAAACAAATAATATTACCAAGAAATAAATATAAGAATCTTAGAATATTTTTTATTTTAATTGTTGTATGTAAGATTCTATGTAATACCTTCAATTATTCCCTTATCAAAGTAGATTGCAGTACTTAAAATCAGTTTACTGGCTGATAAATTTGTTGACGAAACGTCATAGAATTAATTATAAAAATTAATCTCTCTCTTTTCAATTATAATAATAATAATAAAAAAGAAATCTTGTCTCATTTTGAACAAGAAACTCGTTCACATCTAGTTTTATTCATTTTATAAATCTATTGAAAAATCGTCAATTATTTGTAAATTGTTTATAGCGTACATGTACAAAGATGATATAAGCGCAGAACAATTATCGAGAATCATGTTTAAGTACAGAGGAAGAAACTAATGAACAGTTATAACATACAAACCTGTTGCACAACTGACAAAGTTTAGCCAATTATAAATGAGGATAATATACTTGACTTAATTAACAAACACACGTGTATCGTCGTAACATCATATTCTGATTTTGCGCTAGATTATATTCATTCATTTCCGCCAAATTCTATTCGAGTAATCCTACCATATCTCACGTTTAGAATTATCTCGAAATAATATGTCACATTATTTACCCTAATGTCTACTACAGCCAATGATACATTAATATCTGTCATGTATATCAGAGTGATAATGAAATCAACTAAAAATGCTTTATTGCATTTCCATTTATCTTCTTTTTTTGTAATCTCTTTTATTCTTAAAAAAAATCAATATGATATATAATATATATAATATAAATGTGTATGTATGTGTGCGTGTATTAATCATTACGATAGGGGAGGGAAGGGTGAATCTTATTTCAAATTATTTTAAATATATATGAAAGTATGCATGGAGAGATATGAAGATCAAATTATAAAATTGAAAGTAAGGAAAATGATTTAAGATCGATTATGTATTCTATCATATATATTTAAACTTTACAATTACTTGTAAGAAGAAAATATGGTACAATTTACAATTTTAAAACTTTACAATTAATCGAAAGATAAATAAAATGATAAAATAACTCGATTATCCATATATTTCTACAAAAATCGATTACTTGATTTAAATTTAAATTAGATACGTATATAATCGATTTTTAATTGATTATATGACGAAAGAATTTTCTAGTGACGAGATTGTGACACCGACCATGTAGTTAAATGTCCTGATCCGGTAAAGTACGTTCAAATTTTGACGCCATCTGTACGACGATATTCAAACTTTTCTGTCAGTCAAAAATCGCCGCGCCATTTTTGCGAGTAACCAATGACAAAGCAGGGAGAGAGTGTGGGCGCGTTCGCACGTGTATGTCATGTCATGTTATATTTCGAATAATAAACGATAATGTTTTAGAGAATTACATGTGTATAAATACATGTGTTGTTTGGTATAGTGTTATGATCGTTCAACGATTACAATCTTATGCCACTGTTCTTAGTGGTGACTTCGCTGTTTTGCGGTTTTCTTTTGAGGTTAGAAGAACGAATCCTCGAAACATTGCCAAATACTCCCATTATATTTGATTTATGTATGTGGAAGATTTAAAGGGACCACAAAAAATACGTGACAACAGAATTTGGGTAGAGACAAAGTCGTGGCTAGTAACCATCTGATGACGTATTATTCTTGAAGCAGAGAGACAAAGAGAAAAATAGAAAAACAAAGAAATAGAAGGAGAGAAAACTATATATATAATATATATGTATATATATATACATACATACATACATACTCGACTGCATAGGTAAAAGCGGAGCGAGAGAGAGTGTATGAGAGAGAGAAAAATAGAGAGTTGTGTACGCGAGTGAGAAAGAGAAAGAACGGAGGGAGTATAAGCAAAGAAGGATGATGATGATGATGATGATGATGACGAGGAGGGGAATGGATAGTGATGGAGTGGGGGAAAAAGAGAGAAAGAGAAAGACGATTTCTTGTCAAATGCGCGGGCTTTTTTTCGGGTGTGGTATGTGCGTGTGGTAAACACCCCTTAGTCGGTACAGCACCGACGAAGAAAGAGAGGGGAAAATGCGAGTTAACGAAAGAAAAGAACAAACTTATATACGGAAAAGAGACAAGACATTGACGACGACGACGACGACGACTACGGCGACGAGTTTGACGAGTGCAGGAGATGGCAAAATAGCCAGAACACGAGAGAGAAAGAGATAGAAAGAGTATGAGCATGAGCATGAGCGTAGCGTGAGCGAGCGTTAAGCAGCAGCAGCTAACGTGAGTGAGTGAGTGAATAAGATTATATACACAGTGAGTGGTGAAATATAAAACGAGAGAGCAAATGCGAGAGAAAGAAAGAGAGAGAGAAGAGAGAGTGCGTGCATACTTATGAGTAAGTGAGAGAGCAAGCGATTATGAGGTTAGGTTAGGGATCGTGGGGGAGGGGTAGATAGATAGAAAGAGAGAGAAACAGTTTAGTCAAGAGGAAGGGAGGCGGCAAGCTTCGCCAGTGGAACGAAGCGAGAACGAAAGCAGCAGCGGAAGAGCGAAGAGAGAAGGAAAGGATCTCCGTCAAAATGTCGCTGAGAACGCCAACGCGGATACAGTGATAGGGCTTTCATCGTATATCACTGCGGTATGCAGCTTTTTCCTTCGATTCAATTCTCAAATTCTTTCATCATCAAGTTCTTCTTGCGTTCATCGAACGATCGATTATTGTTGGATTCAGTCGTGATTATATATACGAATCTCTTATTCAAAAGAGCAAGAGAGAGAGTCGATGTAGATGCAAAAGATAGTCATGGGAGCATCGATTGCGCACGATCACCCGGTTTCCCTCTATTTGTTTCCCTCGGGCTCCGCGTTGTTTCGTCGTGGCTGCTACTGCGTGTAACGACATCGCATACACCACGATCACAACCTCTGAAAACCTCTTTCTTCTATATTTTTCCTCTATCCGACAACGACAGCTAATACTACTACTATTACACTACTATTATTATTACTACTTCTACACTACTACTACTACTTATTACTACATYATTATATACCACTACTACTACCACACTACCACTACTACTACATACAACGACGATCACGATCACGACAACGGACAACGGACAACGACAACGACCATCATCGTCGAGAGATAGAAAGAAAGAGACACGATCCATATATTCGTTAGAAACTGATTTTTCACCCGGCACATGCTTTCGTCATCCTTATTGTGCTTTTCCTCCTGTTGATCGTTGTAAATTCTCTCTCTCCCTCTCTCTCTCTCTTTCTTTCTCTCCCTTTCTCTTTCTCTCTCTTTCTTTCTCACTCTTTCTCACGCACGTGAAGAAAAATTCATAGTCGACTACGGCTCGAGTTCGGCTCACGAAGCCGATACTCCAGGTATCTCTTTCTCATCCTCCTTCTCAAACCTTCTTTAACATTTTTCCCTGAAAATTTATTGTCCTTGATCGTTACCAGATAATACAAATTTTTATCTAGTGTTGACATCTAATTTACTTTCTTTCTTTATCTATTTTTCATCCTTCCTCATATTTTTATTTAGTTAATAATTTCGTGTTAATTTCGTTAATTCGTTCAAAATCATTTGCGAAGATATGGATTTACCAAAAATGTGTATCGTTAATTTCGATTCTAACAAATCGATCTTCGACAAGCCGATCTTTTGTTTCTAAAGCTCCTTATCTATTACCTTTATTACATGGAGCTTTAATGTTCAAGCTTTGGACACGTTATCGTTTTCTCAGATATCTACGAGTTTTTAATGGCTTTTCGATTTCAAACTTTTCCTTCTTGAAATACGATATTGTTCTTTTCGTCATCTATGTGCCTCAAAAAGGATTCCACACGTTAGTGCTACTTCGTCGTTTATCTATTTATTTATCTATCTATCTATCTTTTCTTTTTATTYTTCCTCTAAGTATTTTTGTTCTTCATACATTAACGACTGTTATAAATATTTAAAGGGACAAAAGAATTGTTGTATGCGACCATGTATATAATTTTTCTTTCCATTAGAATATAATTTGTATAATTCAATTGCGTTTTATTTATCTCGATTATATTCTTCATTTTTTGTTTACATGAAAAATATCTCATTGCGTTTATTTCTATATATAAAAATGTTCTGATTGTGTTAAAGTATATATGTGACATGTGTATGTTGATATTTAGATTTTGATTTCTTAGAGAGAGAGAGAGAGAGAGAGAGTGATCACAATTAGGATTTATTTTTAATGGAATTTTCTAATTATTTATCTGAGCGTTATCATTCATTTTGTATTTATTTTCAGGTTTGGCGTAGTATCGGCTGTACATGAAGAAAATGGTGTCTACGCGTCAATCTAGTAGCATGGGTGCACACAACGGAGGAGGCACTGTTAATGACATCAGGGAAGTTAGTCCGTTGAGGAAGCATCAGGCTTCCCTTCATGCAGGACCTTCCAGTGCGTCTCCTACAGTTACTCCTCCTCCGGTTTGCAACTTAGGCCTTTTTGATTTACCAGTAGAAATCATTGAGAAGATCTTTAGTTATTTGAGCTATAACACTGTAGCACATTTACGTCCAGTAAGTAAAATTAAATATGTTTTTAATCTTTTGCGATAACTTGCACTTGTCAGAAGAATGAAATCAATAATTTCTCATTTTACAGGTTTCCCATCAAATGGACCGTGTTTGTGGAAACATTCTTAATTCGGCATTTCAAAAGCTACAAGCACAAATGTTGACCCGCTTTCAGTCAATCAAAGCTCAAATGCCTAGACGTGAATCAGCACGTCGCAATCATCCATTAGCATGCGAATCGGATATTGTAGAAACATTACACATGAGACTTACTTTACTTCAAATGTGTTTTGGTAAACATATAGAGAGAAAACATTGTTGCTTTTTTCCTGGAGAGGTAAATCAAATAAAAACTTTGATTCTTAATAGGATATAACACTCACTCATTAATGTCTTAATTTTAATCTTGACAGATTTTGGACGAAGTTTATCGTATATTACATTATATAAAGGTTACTCCAAAATTATCACGACCTTACAAAGTCACAGATGAATTATTTGACTTAAGTACTATGGCCATGGAATATTTTAAAGAACGTATCGAACCAATGCTACCGGAAATTCCATACTTTGGAGCTGATTTTCTGGATTTAGCAGGGACATTCCCTTGTAAGTAATAAATAATTATTCATATTTATATTAAATTTAATATTGCAGTGTGTAATTACTTCAATAATTTTCATTTAAATTTCGAATATGAATATTGCAGCAGCTAGTAATGTTAGTAAACCATTTATGTGCCTGGATTCCGCACCCTTGAGTGTTGGAAGCAGTAAAGCAGGGAGTGGTAGCGGGGAGGAAGGTTCTCCTCCGCATTCTTCCGAAGATCCTGCTCTCTTAGAAACGAATATTTCACCTCCTCAATCAAACATGGTATTACGTAAACGGATTCGTAAAATAAAACAAGGAATGAAGAGATACAACAGTCAGTTGACGTTGATGCGTAGGGATTTAAGGAGTTGTAAGGCGAAAATAGCCGAGCAACAGAAACAAATTGTAGAGTATGCTACGCGTCTCGACGACAATGACAAAAAGAACGAAGAGACATCTCGCAAGTTTAGTACGCTCCTACAGGTATTTACCCAGGTATACTTAGCATAGGAGAAAGAGAGAGAGAGAGAGAGAATAGATTTTTTTAATTTGTAACATTTAAATAATCGATTTTGAAAAAAATACGATTGATCGATTGAAACTAGGCATATTCGTGTATAGAACAAAGTATAAAACTATATTATTAAAAATGTCAATTGAAATGTTGTAGGAGTTAAATAAATGCAAGACGGAACTTCAATATTGGCGGTCTAAGTCACCCGCGATACCCGTTTGCGGTAATTGCGGTCAATCTATGCCCGTACCGACTGAAGATCTACAAGCTTTAGTCAATCAAGGGGTAATGCCAGAGGCATTTGAAGAAGGATTGGATTTCATTCCAATAGCAGATGAACACAGTCCTACGGAAGTTGTACCTTCAGCAACGGTTACGCAATCACCATCGCCTGCGGTGCTCTCGGAACCTGCTGAAATGGCACCTCCTAAAGAACCTATTATAGCATCGGATTCCTTAAAACGAAAATCTAGTGTGGACGAAATACCGAGCGACGCTACGAAAAAACCACGTCGTACTGCCAAGTCTCGTCAGGCTAAACGCTCAAAGCTATAAATTGATTCTGATCATGGTACAAATCTCTATTCTTATATCTCTGATCGGTTTTTCTAAGAAGAAGGTATATTTCACATTATTATTTTTCTTTATTCTCTGTATTACGAAAAATCACATCAGTGGCAAGTTCTGTTACTAAGGTAAACACACACACACAAAACACAACACACACACACACACAGAGAGAGAGAGAAAGAGAGAGAGAGAGAGAGAGGCAGGTGTTGGATGATCTTAGAAAAGTACAAAATTCTTTCCCGATCGTCCCACGACGCGCGCTTCGCATGCAACGAACCCCTCTTTTCGAAATTTCTATAGTTCAATTATATTCTTTTTTTTTAATTCTTCCTATGGATGTAAACAGGGGAAGAGGTTGGTGATTGATGCAGTTAGCTTAAAATTTATTTATTCTAAAAAAAAAAGAAACGAACGTCACATGCTCTCGCAATCACAACGTGTGATACCTGCATATATTCTAAATGGTATAGTACATTATTTCCAACATTTCTCGTAACGCAATGTCTATCATCTCTCCAATCTTCTTTCGAAGATTTCTTAGAGTATTCTCTTATTATATCATTATCGCCATGATATATCCGAGGATTACGGAAGGCATTGGACATTTTGTTTGTCGATTCTAAGAATTAATTTGTTTATTTTTTATTTCTCGACTCATAGCTGTTTAACAATCCACTAATAAAACAACGTTACTCCTTGATTGACTAAAGCCTGTAAATCTTCCGTTGGTACGGGCATAAATTGTTAGACATTGTTGGAATGTTTGTAGAATTTCGAAAGATCAACAAACGAGATCTACCTTCTGTTTTCCTTGGACAAGTAACGAACGGGCACGAAGTTCGTATCTTGTTTTTAACGTGATATAATAATAATAATTATAATAATAATAATAATAATTAATATGTTTCCGTAGTCTATATAAACTAAACACTTCATCCCAATATTTTTCGTGAAAATCGTCGTTAAAAAAAAAAGAATATTCTAACTGACGTGATGGGATGATGTTTGGTATTAAAATTGTATAAAATGAAAGAGGAAGGAGAAGAAAAGAAGAAAAAAGAGAAAAGGAAGAGAATGCTTGTATAAAATGTTTGTTAACAACACTTAGTTGTAATTCTATTCGGAATAGAAATTTCACGTTGTGCATGGCTATCGAGATATCGCCAGTGGTTAACAGTAAATCTATATTAATATAATTAAATTATAGTCTTTTTCTTGCGCAACAACAAATAACGTGAATATCATCGAGTTTGTAGGATTTTTATACGAAGTAAAATAATAAAAGAGTGAGAAGAAGTAAAGGGAGAGAGAGAGAGAGAGAAGAGAGAGAGAGAGAGAGAGAGAGAAAGGAAAAAAGAAGAAATAAGACAGAACAAAAAAAATGAATATGAAAATATAGAATCATAATTAGGAAAATAAATCTTTCAAGAAATTACTTGGGATAGATATCAAAAGAAATAAATACAAGTAAGCCTTTCACAGGTTTAAAGCGATTAACTCCACTTAAAGAATGTTTGTAAAAATTTATTATTAAAGTACTCGATCAATATTAAGCTTTTAATATTTCAAATATATCTTAATAATTAGCCTTATTAGACGTATAATGAATAAATGATATCACGATGTATATTAATCAATTGTTTATACTTTTTTATGTTTTTTGTGGAGCTAATTGATTTGGCAAATGAATGGCTCGTATATACAAAATACATAGGATTAAATTAAAATTAATTTAAAAGAAAAAAAGAAAATATATTTATAGCGCTTTCAATTTATTTTGTATTTTTTTTTGTTACGTTTTTATTCTTAGTTTTATTATTTTATTAATGTTATTTTTTCTTCTTTTTTTTTCTTTGTATGATGATTCTTCGAAATTTTGAAATAGAACGAATTGTTCATTAGGAATCAAAGGGATACGAAAAATTAAATTATTTCACATGGGATAAATTACTTATTAAAATAATTTATTCGGATTAATTAATAAACCTTTCTTTTTCTTTTTTTTTTTTTATTTAATTTTCCCTAGTTACCCCTCGTCAGTAAATATTCACTTCGTTACACATGAATATTTTTAACCTCCGAATAAAGGTATCACAGGATAATAATCAAAGGGGATGAAAGTCAAAACAAAAATCGTTTAAAAACAAAACGAATATTTTTTTTGTTGGCATCTGCTGAACCTTAATAAAAGAAAATAGAAAAACGAGAAATTAAAAAATGAAGAAAGTTGGAATGAGACGTCAGAACGAGACGATAGATAATTTAAATAAAATAATGTGTTATATATACATACATACATACATACATATATATATAATATTTTCTCACAACACAGAGGGGAAGAGAGAAAGAGAGAGAGAGATAGATAAAAAGAACGTCGTCGCACAAATGGTGATGCGATTTGTTCTGCTAAAAGACGGCGTGTATTGCAATATTAATAAAGCTAGGTAATTATTTATAGGAACAATTATTTATAGAAGAAAAATACAAACAATTATTAGCAACAATACAAAAACAACAAAATGAATGGGCATCGAGGAGTTATTCTTACAAATTTACAAATGCAACAATTGTCAATAATATCAAAACAATGTCGTTGTTATTAAAAGCATAAAAGCTTTGAAAAAAAGAGAGAGAGAGAGAGAAACCAAGAAAAAAAAAACAAAAAGGATTACATAAAAAACAATTATTTAAATGTCGGGGGTGAACGTAAATTCAAATTGTCATTTGTTCATAATTAATTATATGGAAAATCTGTTCTTTCAATGTCTGACGTTTTACCCTGTGCGATGCTCGATGATAAAGAGGATTTCGTAGGAAACAAGTTAATCGTCTTATTTGCACCGATCATCAAATTAATCTCAAAGAAGTGTAGTTAGACATATTGTGAGTTATTCATGATTCTAGTAATAAAAATAAATAAAATCAATAAATAAATAAAAAACAAAAAAAAATACACATAATGATAATAAGTAAATAATACTTCATTATGAATATATGTGTATATATACGTCTATATATATATAGACGCATATATATATATATATGCATGTATATGCACTTGCCTGAATAAACATATATATGTATATAATTACATATATATGAGTGGGCTGCTCGCCAAAAGTGCATGTCACTTAGAGCATTTTAGTTTAATCTTTAATGTAATAATAAAATATAATAATTGATAGTAATGAAATAATTCTCGATATATAATTTTGTATCGATGTCAACAAAAAAAAAAGGAATTATGGAAACAGAATAAAAGAAAGGAAGAGGAAGAGAGAGAGAAAATGAAACGATGCGAATGATTGCGATTCTGATGAAAGAATAAAAAAGAAAACTTGTATGCATGATTAAGAATATTTGACATATAATATAAATATAGTAAGAGAGGGAAAAAGAGGGTGGATGTGAATGAAAGAGTAAAACAGAAAGAAAGAAAGAAATAGGAACGTATGAGTGAGAAAGATTCTAAATTCAAACTTAATGAGAATTTACGATGTGATGCTTTATCGATTAAATCGCGGGAAAGTGACCTTTATTCAAATAAAATACATGTGGGGCGTTTCTGGCTACAAAACTGTGTTGTGAGTTTGAAGCATGTAAGGTTTTTTGCGGGGGCGGTCGTAGCCTAATCGCTGTGTCGGAAGTTTTCGAAATGATGCTTTTCAAGTAATAATCGTACCATTTAAATAGTATAAATGGGACTGTACTTAAATCGTCTTCTTAGAAAATAATAAAAATAAGAAAATTTTCAATTACGCGAAGGCAAAAGACCGAAGAAAAATATAAAACCAATTTATATATATAAAACGAAACTTCTTGTGGTGGTAATTTATTACAACGTTTCGTGTTAATGTATAACAAAAATAAGCTATATCTGTGAAAGTTAAATTTAAAAATGTACGAATAGTCGATCGATTTGTGTCCAATAATTATTAATTAATATTCTCTTCTATATACTTTTATTATTCTGATTTTTTGTTTTATTTTTTTTTCCAAAATTTTTTTTTAATATTATTTTTCTCTTTTGTAAATTTAAATGTGCTTTCGCGATCCTCGGCTTTCCGACATAATCCGTCCCCGAATGATACAAAGCAAACATAAAGTCGTTAATTTTGTGTATTACACATAGTAAACACACACGAATCTATTATGTTAGGCATACAATCAAGCATAATTGATGAATACACGATTTAGGTATATAGAAGAATTTTGTTTCTTTAGGCAGTAGCGAGGAATGTGCATCGATGGTGCGTTTATGGAACCACGAATTTTCTTAACAAAAAAATATTTAAAAAAAAAATAAAAGTAATGATAATAATAATAATAATTAATATTAATATTAATAATATTAATAATAATAATAATAATAATAATAATAATAATAATAATAATAATAATAATAATGAATAATAATGAATAATAATGAATAATAATAAATAATAATACAAATAAAAAGGGGAAAAAAGTTCACCAGAGTGTCAGAGAATCATACAAAAAATATTGAAATAAACAAAATAAGAAAAGTATCTTTGTACATTGTACGATACTACTAACTATAAGTATGATTCTTGATATCTTCATGGTGTACACACCATAGATAAATATCCATGATTAAACACGTATGTGTAATTTACAGTTTACACAATGCAACAAAAAGATGAATATTTAGGAATACAATTGCCACAGCGTTTTACGGATCCGAAACGCTCTACTCCGAAAAATAAATATAAATATATTAACTTAAATGGTTTTACGTGTATTAAAACAATTGTAAATATACTTATATTAGATACACCTTATAATAAACATAATTTAACATACTTCAATCCTTTTTTTTAGTTTTCTCTAAACTCTTTCGACTCGTTCATTTGCACACGAGGATGACAAACATATTATTTTCTTTTCTTTATGAAAATTTACTAAATATATAAAGGATACTATGTAGTATCTATAAATAATTATTGACTAACGAAATCAACAATTTGTATCAATTATGAAGTTATTTTTTCTTTTTCATAAGGTTTGGTATTGTTGCATTCTACATAAATATTTAAAATAACGCATTTACACGCGGTAAATTGGATAACCAATGAAATCGTAGCTGCCATAATGGTATTATTTGCGCGCATTTCAAACAACCATCATGGCCGAATTGTCAGAAAAAGGCTCGTATAATTTTATGATTTTCTATTCGTTTTCGTTATATCGTTAGAATGATGAATACATTTTATTTGTTTTCTGTTTCTAATGATATCAACAATTGTTACGTTTGTCCTAATATTTTGTATTACTTCTTATCATTTTTCAAAATATGTATCACTTCTCTTTTTATCTTCTTCTTTACTTCTCTACCACTCTTTCGTAATCCTATAATATTACCATTGAAATACGATAATACTAATATACATATGCAAAGTCGTATAAAACGTCCTTGATAATACATGTATATTTTAAAACATAAGTAGCATGCGCGCGTTTGAGTTCATGTGTTAAAATTAGTATCATATCGAATTTTATTATTTTTTTTTAATGGTAACTTCAAGTGGTCGTAAAGAACGTAAACAAAACAAATATGTACGTCCTCGAATTGCGTTTCTCGATGGTCATCGATTTTTATCATATCGAGTACACATTTCTGTTATAAAAACACTCTAATCTTTATATTTTTAATTTATTTTTTTTTTTATAATTTATTGTAATTTATATTTAAAGAAAAATATAATAGTGTCTTCGCGTATGCATCAGTCTCCACGAAATGATACTTTGTCACCGATATTACTTGCAATGTAATAGCTTATATAATATTATTATTGTAAACAATGTAAGAACTGTCGAGCCAATTGACTGCATTTAATTTTATTATCGGATTAAATTGTCATTAATAATTTTAAAAAAATATGTTTCTAATCTAATATTTAATCTTTATTGACGATTTTTTGTTCATTTTTCTAATAATAAGAATGGTAAAATTGCTGTAAAATTATTCTTCTTGGTCTCGTCGATAAGGTAGAAAATGACAAATCTGAACTTATCGATGTATCATTTAATTTTTTTTATTTAACTAATTAATAGCTCGTTATGATTTAATATTAATGATTGAATTAATGTAGCATTTATTAAATAATTGACCTTTGTGATAGTAATTGTATATCATGGTCTTAATACGTCATGATTAATATAACATAAGCTACAGTTGATAAATCGTAAGTGAAATTATTAGTGCTGTTAATCGTTGTTGGTAATAACGTGTCGCATTGGTAATCTTGATTTGATCACAAAGGAGGACATTAGTTTCTCGTTTGATTTCAGTCAGAGATGGAGTTTATTGAGAATCCTTGTTGTTGCTATATACGCGTATCGGAAATATTAAAAACGTTATAAAAAACATTGTAACAGATTAAAGTAACGGGTTTTATGTAAATGTCTCTATATCGGTTTAAAAATTATCACATAGAATCTATCGCACCGAGCTGATGTCTCCACATTATTTTTCTCGAATCACTTTGTCGAACATAACCTATGTGTATACTGATTTTTTATTATTTTTATTGCAATTGATTTTTAAAGTGCGAGAAGAAATACGGCTGCATTATGGCAAACACCTTGCACAAGGACGGATACGACACACGTAGGGAACTAATTTATATTTTTTTATCATATTTCTATTGCTACAATTCCATTGTTTGAATTTTTATTAGTTTTATTTATTGTTTCTTGATAAGAGATAAGGAAGAGAGGGAGAGTACACTTTTGTTGTTTGTACAGCAGGAGATTCAATTTTTTATTATTTTTTTTCTTTTCAATATTTTTGACATGTGCTTGATTATCTTTAAGAACTTTGTTGTTCTCGCTTTAAAATCTTATTTTATATTTTATCCTACATGGAAATAGAAAAATTAATTAAGTGTGGAGGCAGCGGTGTTCTTGGACCAAATGCTGATATGAAGTTAGAACCATCTAGTCCTACGGAAAAGTATACTTTCTCTCGTTGTAGTAGTACAGGCTCTGTAAATACTGCATCCTCGTCTGCTCAAAATACAGGTGAATAATGATAGACGAATAATATTTTAGGTATATTATTATTTGAAAATAATAATTAATAACAAAAAATAAATCTCTGTTTCATTTGATTTCAGAAGACGAAGACAGTGATAATAAAAGTTCAACTATAAGTTATAAGGAAAGACGCAGGGAGGCTCATACTCAAGCGGAACAAAAACGTAGAGATGCCATTAAGAAAGGATATGATTCGCTTCAAAATTTAGTGCCTACTTGTCAACACACCGATTCATCCGGTTACAAACTATCCAAAGCTACCGTACTTCAAAAATCTATCGATTATATACAGTTCTTGTTGCAGCAAAAAAAGAAGCAAGAAGATGAGCGCAACGCATTGAGAAAAGAAGTTGTCGCTCTGCGTATTATGCAAGCCAATTATGAGCAAATTGTTAAAGCGCACCAAACGCAACCTGGTCACGCAGAAATGCGTGTATCGGATGAGGATAAATTCCAAGTGGTAGAGATAAGACATTTCTTCCATTATTTCCTATCCTTTTGTTATTTTTGATTTTATTTTGAACAATTAGTTTCCTTTAAAGTTCCTTATTATTAAATGGCAATATTACTTATCTTTTTTTTTTTATTTTTAGTTTCAGGCGATAATGGATCGTTTGTTTCAAAGTTTCAACACTATCTCTGTTGCGAATTTTGCGGAATTGTCCGGCTGCGTGTTCAGTTGGTTAGAGGAACATTGTAAGCCTCAGGTGAATGATCCAACTTATTGTTTATCCAGACGCCTTGACAAACAAAAAAAAAAGACAAGGAAAAAAAAAGATAGAAATAAAACCAATAAAAATGTGTACACGTCACAGACTCGTTCGTATTAACGAGAAAAAATTACTTTCAGACTCTTCGCGAGGTAGTAATTTCCGTTTTACAGCAGCTCAACAACCAAATCAGCTAGTCGAATGTATCATCGGAGTTATCTCCATCGCACAATGTCCCTGTTTTATCAACCTGTATATCTTTCAAAGGATACTCAGACCGGTCGTCAATGAAGTTACCAAAGGGGATGAGAGATGAATGTCGTACAAGAATTAATGATAATAATGATAATAATAAAAACAAAAAGGACAAATATTCAAAAGAAAAAAAAAACAAAAGAAAAAAAAATATATGTATATATATAATGTATATGTATATACAGGTAGCTCATAATGATCGCAAGATGAAAATATAAATAGAGATTTATTTTATATACGATCATAAAAGTATAGAAGAGATTAAGGACTATTTTGTGATTTATGGTACAAGAACAGAAAAAAAAAGAAAAATATAAATCTCACGTTGTTATTATCAATCGCGCATGAAAGATGACGTATTGAATATTTTTATCAGATTTTTCTATTATTCGATAAACATATTTGCATATATACATATATACATACATTCACACACACATACATACATACATAAATACACACATATTTACATAGTATTGAAATACATTTATATACACACACACACACAACACAACACGCAACGTGTGTCGTCGTATACATTCTTGTGTATATGTACGATTAGACGCGACATATGTATATTGATGTATATCTAAGCATGTACATACATACACAAAAAAAAATAGACAAAGAAAGACCTATGAGATCATGGAATAAAATTTAATACCTCAGAGGCTCTTAAAACACTAACAGTCCACACAGCACAACGTAAAATGTCGTCGTTCCGTTCGATTAATAATTTTGAAGGATGATGGCTGTTTTTTTTATTTTTAATCATGTTCATATTGTTTCTTTTACTTCTTCGAATATTTTGTTGTTGTTTTTCTTCTTTATCTCATTTTTCCTTTCTTCCGCTAAAAGCGATACAAAATCAACTTCGTCGATGAACAATAAGTTAACAATTACGAGTAATTGACAAAGAACGTATTAAAGTTTATAGATCCCGTTTTTAAAATTTTTCGGATTCCGTTGGCATGCTGCTATCACCTTGAGTTATTTCGTTCATAGGTATTTCGTCGAATTTTTGCAGATTGTTTCCTTCAGCAACTCTCATATTATTACGACGAATCGTTCGTTTTCTTGTAGTGCTAACCCCGGCTGGACAACACAAATCTCGAAAGAGACAAATATAGCATGTGAGTAATATTACCATCATCACAGTACCACAGACCATCAAGATAGATGCCCAGAAAATAGACGCCTCGTCGTCCATCATCGTTTTAATCTTCAAAAATTTTAACAATCCTTTCTCCAAGAAAAGTTTTTTTTTTTTTTAAATTGATTCACTGAAATAGAAATACACACATATATATATCAAATATATACATATATATCTATACATATATATTATATATGTGTATATATTTGATGTATATGCAATTGTCGATGTAAGAAAAATAATCTGCATATTGTATATTTATATAAGTCATGAAAGAAGTTTGAATGTCGGTCAATTTGTCGATATATGGGATAACTTTAAAACGTTTTCTTCGAGACATACAGGCGCCACGTGTACCATATAATGGAGAAATAATATAAGGAGGAGAGGACGGGTGGGAGAGGAGGAAAGAAAGAATGTAGAATAATTTTCATAAATAAGAGAATGCACAATATTTTCCGCTAATCATTTTTACTTCTTTCTTCACTTATTTCTTTTACTTTTCTTTTTTTACGATCAACGTGTCTTAATTATGCATTCTGGTATACGACTATGTTTACTTTTAAAAAAGGAAAAAAAAGTATCATCGGTTTTAGAAAATATGCTTGTTTTTTTTATTTTTCATCGTACTCGTTAGGGTAAACAAGTGGTTCAGTACTTATGGCAAATTCCCAAATGAGTGTTAGAATTCACAAGTAATAGGACGAAGTTGGGGAATTGTTAACTACGTTTTCTTTTTTCTTGTTAATTATCTGATTCATTTATTTATTTATTTTTGTTGTTGTTTTCGTTGTTGTTAACGTGATTATTTGTAGAATCAAAATCTTTTTATTCTATAAAAAAAAGAGAAATGAGAGAATATAAGAATTTTTGCGAAATATCTACCTTTATTTTGTCGCAAATGGTTGGAGATCTGGATTTTTTAATAAAGTATTTACAATTCTATATTCTCATGAACTACTACAAGTGTGCTAATTTTTAGAAAAAAAATTTTAGCCTCTCGTAAATGGTCCTGCCCTTTATGTGTGTGTGTGTATGTGTGTGTGTGTTTTAACTTGAAATAAAATTTTATTTATATTTCAGGAATATTTTGTTGCAAACAAAAAATAAGAGAAACGTATCAGATGAAAAGATTTGATTTTTATATTATTATTATTTTAATTATTATTATTATTGTTAATTCTATTATTTAATGCAGGACTTTGCAAACTTTTACAAATATTTTTGCAATTCTGGATATGGACTATTTTAATTCTTTTTTCACTGTTATTAAGCTCACAGAAATATGTGTTACACGTGTAACATTGCTACAGTAATTTAAAATTAATTTTTAGTTGTTGCACGTCCAGCAATTTTGTAGTTAAAATTTCTATACCTCTTAAATTAAGTTACGCGACTCCATATGTGGTCACAACTACCCTCCCTTTGAGAAACCCTTATTTAATGTTGCATTAATCGTATGTTTGAGTTATTAGCGACACAAGGCCTTTGTCTTAACTTTTTAACAATTGTTTCCTTTATATTATTAGTTTATTATTATTCGATAGATATTATAAACAAAACACACAAAAATATATATATAATTTGTTGCAATTGTTCATTATAATAAATTAATGAAACTTGTCGTTAATTTAATTAGAAAATTTCTTATTATCTTTCGTATGAAATTACAGCCTTCTGATATTCTTTAACAGTGTTAATTCTATATCTCTCGAATTTAGAACGATAATTATCTCGTCGATCAACGTCGATTTCTCACGAGGAAATTTGTTTCCTCTGGAAAATGTATATTATAACGATAAAGAATTTCTTAAAGGATTTTCGTTATAACTGAGAAAACTATTAACCGTGAAAATTTCATCGTGTTAATTATAACGATAATTATTTAATTAAAGAATAATAACAATAATAATAATAATAATAATAATAATAATAATAATAATAATAATAATAATCGAGTGATAATTGTTTATACTTGCTCGTTGATTTATCTTTTCTCTTTTTTTTTCTTTCTTTCTTGTGAATTTGATAATACCGTGCCATACGTGCATAAAATAATTAAAATGTTAATATTTTAACGAAAAATTATTTGTCGCTGCTTGGTTAGAAATAAAAATATATCCAAAATGATTTAAAATTTTATTTTATTTATTTATTTTTTTTATTTTGTTATTTTAATCTGTACGAATTTTTCCGACAACACACCGATACACACGTTTTTTTCTAGTCATTTGTATACAAAAATGTTTTTAAACGTTACACGAGCGTAACTTTAGAGGAATATTTTTTTTTCGTATAAATATTTTTTGGTTTTGTTTGTTTTCTTATTTTACCGTATCAAAATTATTTCCAAAGTTATTTCGACATATTTGGGTCAACCCCTATCTGTAGTATATTTCTTGTCACACGTAGGTATATGTTAACTAATATAAACGAAAAAGAAGAAATTATTTGTTTTAATTGTAAGTTGAATAATAACAAAACAAATATTGTTAAACAATTCGTATATTGTTATTCCTTTGTAAAATTGATTAATTCGGTTGGGGTAAAAAAAAAAAAAAAAAATAAAAAAGAAGAAAAAGAGAGAGAACAATTTGATATGACGAAACAACTGGTTGAATATTTGTTTTTGACAAGCTTAATCAGCTTCTAATCATTTAACGATCGAATTTCATTCGCACGCGTAGTCCGATTGAACTTTCCAAGTGCAAAAACCATTCTCGATGAATTAATTCATCCATGAAAATCAATTTTCCAATATGTTATAAAACTCTCATTCACAGGGAGAGAATATATATTTATTTTATTAAACAATATAAACGTATGCACGCGTGTTTAAAAAAAAAATATTTTCTTGTTTAGATGAAAGGAGAATAATCTTTCCTTTATTTTAAAAAAAAATTTTTTTTTCCTTCTTTTAATTCTTCTTTATTTTTTATTTTGCGTTAGTTTTAACAACAGTTTGAAGCGTTTTGAGTTTAAAAAATAAAAATTTTTCAACATAAGAATTAATTTTATACTTTTTATTTCACTATTTTTATAACAATTCACAAATTTTATACTAATTATTTGTCATTATAGAATAAATTATAAAATCAATTTAATTCGTTTTATTTATTCGGTTAATTGTTATATAATTAATTAATTATTTATTCTGGCACGTTTCATTAGAAACATTTAAATCAAATTTAGCGATACTAATGAACATTGTAAATAAAATATATTCATATTTATTCCATTCGTGATTCTAATTATATTTTTTCTTTATTATTTTTATCTTTATTATTATATATTATTACTATAATAGATATCGAATAATAACGAGTAAAATATATAATTTAAATTAAGGTAAATAATAATATTGATAAAACGTAAAATACATAATTAAGAGAATATTTCTACATATCTATTTTGTAGAACTCATTTCGATATAATAAATAATAATAATAAATATCATTATCATTCACGTGGAAATACTGAAACAAAATGTATAAAAATATATTGGATTTAAAAAAAAAAAAAAGATAATAATATAATGAAAATGAAATAATATAAATTATCAATTGATATTTACATTTTTGTTAGAGAGATTTTCGTTGTTTTTCCAATAAGATTAATAAACATTCCAGAGCATGAGTTATCCCTTCGAAAATATTCTTCTTGTTCTAAAAACATTTTTGATCCATGTATAACTCGTAATCATTTGAAATTCACATGATCACATGGATAATTCAACACCGATTCCTAAAGACGATGTCATGTCGTCGTAAAATTTCGTGTTTAAGGAGAGAATTCACTGTTTCACTAAAAGAAAAAAAAAAGAAAAAAAAAAGAAAAAAAAACCAGAAAAAAACTGGTTAATTTTTCAAAATTATATTATTTTTCTTATCATAAGCTCACGTATAATATATATATATATTTTAATATATACTTCAAGAACGTGGACGATTTTTCTCGTTAAAAAAGAAAGATTGAACATCTTTTTGTAAAAGAAATTAAAAAGAGAGAGAGAGAGAGAAAGAGAAAAAAAACCTAATCTCAATAATGCGTTATCGCATACACCTACGCATACACACATACGTATCACGATTAATTCAAATCTGACATTTCTTTTTAAGTTTAAAACCGAAGGATGGATATGTATTTAAAAAGTAATAGTAATAATAATAATTAATATAAATGGATCCTTTTAATTTGTTTTGAAAAGAAAAAACATATATATATATATATATATAAAGAAAATTTCAATTAAGTTTTCGTCGTAAAAAAATTAACGCGAACGAAAAAATAATATTTTTATATAAATCATATGTATTGTGTTTTTCGATTATTCATTTAAAATGCAATTTATTTTTTATAATTTTGTATTCCTTAAAGATTTTGTATCTTTTTTTTTTCAATGATACGAGTAAGAGATAAACGCGTCTATTCATTGGATTTGAAAAATGTTTTACGAGTTTGTTAAAGGGGGTTGAGAAAGTAGCGTGTGAGTGGGGGGGGGAGAGGAAGGTTGGCGGGGTTTGAAAGAAAGATTTGTTCAGCATACGGTTTAGACAAAAAGTTATGGTTAGTGTGGTAAAATGTGTCGAAAATTAGTGTCGCGAATTTTGTGTTGATCGATAAATTTTGGGTTATTTTCGCGTTGGTTTATTTGTTAATTTTTTTTCATTTTATTTTTTATTGTTATTATTATTATTACTTTTTCAAACACATACACGAAAGTATATTATTAACACACACACATACTGAAATGGCGTGATATTTCAGAGCGACTTATACAGGACGAAAGCCGTGTGTCGACTGGACGAATCCCGTTTCTCTTCTCGCGAACGCGCATCCTCCTCCTATTTCCTCTCTCTCTCTCTCTTTCTCTTTTATTTTCTCTCCCTCTTTCTTCCTCTCTCTTATTCTCACATTCGATCTTTCTTTCATTCTTTATTTCTTTCTATTTATCTGTTAACACATTGCGAACGGGTAACATTTTCTTTTCCTATAAGAACTTGCACCCAATACTGGATTGGTCCAGGTATTTTTTTTCTTTTTTTTTTCGACAAATATTTTTAAATTATTCTTATACGATTTGTTAATAATTTATAAATAATCGATCAATTAAAATAATATTTTAATAAAGTAATAGATAGTGTTTCGATTTGTCTGATGAATTTGACGATTGTTTCGTCATTCGTATTCAATACGTTTTTAACAATTTTATTTTATTTTATTATTTTTTTATATTTTATTATATTGTGTATAGTAATATCGATGTTATTTCTTTGTTTTGTTCTTTTCTTTTTTTTTTTTTTTGAATAAATAATTGCCGCATTTTTAACATTACTCGCTAACGTTGATTTTACTCTCACGCGTATTCGATTTTACTTATTCGATAAGGGGTGAGAGGGTGGGACTGAGTGGTACATATAAAATGTAGAGTCTCACAAAGAAACCAAAGAGATAATGTTTATTTATTCTTTCGTTTAATTTTCATTTACGCGATTCGCATAGGAATCGATCAAGATAATATTTATAATAAATCGTAGCCCTCTTCCTTTCTATATATTTATATATATTTTTGTTGTTTATTCCAACCTATATAAAATACTTTATTTATATTCTTTTTCTTCGGTAGATCACACTTCATCTTTCCCGTTTGATTTAACACGGTCTTTTTTAGGAAACTATTTGTTCTTCAACGTCGTCGTCTATGGGGGGTAGAAAAAAAAGAAGGAAAAAAAAGTGTGAGAGAAAGTAAGAGAAGAGAAAAAAAAAGAAGAGTATTAGGAAGAAGTGAGATTAGAATGTAGGGCACGTAGGATCGATTTAAAGGTGGGGGAAGAGTTAGGGGAATACGAATCGAACGAACCTTTTTTGCGAAACGCATCTAGTAAATCTAGTTATCTTTATTTCGTATACCTACTATTTTTTAATATGTGTTAGGAAAAAAAAATACTATATACTTCGTTCGAGTATAGTATAATAAAATATAAATATAATTATCACGAATAATAAATTCTATTATTTATTAATAATTATAAAATATAATTACAAACAAATAATTCTTTTTTTGTTTCTTTTTTTCTTTTTTTTTCTATGACATTTTACATCCTATGATTATATTATAATAATAACGTATATATATATAATAGATATACTTCTAGAATATAATATAGGAATTCATGATAGATAATATCATTATATCTGAATATTATAAAGAATATCATAAATTCAGTTCATTCTTGAATATTCGTGGAAATATGACAATGTAATCGGGAAACTACGAACTCATATTTCTCGTTGGATTAAGTCACGGATAAAGAGAAAATATAAAAATATGACAATAAAAATAAATATAATAATAATAATAATAATGAAGGGATATAGAAAAGTGGATTATATTGATATAAAATGAATCCCAGGTGGGATGAAAAATAATCTCTCATATTGTTTTCTTTATCGTTATATAAAATCCCTTTATTCTTTAAATTAAATCAAACATATACAGGTTTGGGGAAAATTTGGATGATTTTATAAATTGCTTAACGATTTATAAAAGAATAGAAAAAAATAGAAAAGAAAAGTAAAAAAAAGAAAATAAAAGAAAAGAAAAAGAAAATAGTAAATCAATATTTGCACCCCGAGGATATCTTTATTTATTTCGAATAATGTGTTGGTATCGTTCACATAAAAATGGCCACATAGGAAAAGGAAGGAAGGAAGGAAGGAAGGACTTTGCTGCTTGTGCCCGCAGGATGATGATAAATACGAACGTAAAAGAAATGATGTGCTGGGTTCTATTGCTTCCTCTGCGATATTATCGTTGTGCTCAGCTCAATCACCCCTTCTTATATAACTTCCTCTCCCCCTCCTTTTTTTTGCTTTTCTCCCTTTAATCTTTCTCTTCACTTCTTTCGTTTTTTTCTGTTACTTTTTTTTTCTCCCCTTACCTATTTATTTCTTTCTCAATTATTTCCGTCTCAAAGGAATAATTTCGTGGTATCTCACAATCAGTCAGTTAGTTAGTTAGTCAGTCAGATATTGATTATCTATTTACCTGACCAATAATATCGAATAATTTTCTTTTTTTTAAATGTTACCACATGCTGCGTGCAATATGAAATATTACGCTGACAAATCAAATAGATTCGTTTATTTTAACAATTTTCAATAAGTTTTCTTTTTTTTTATTTCAAATGGTGCCAACAAGATATTTAATCAAATCAAATTCAATATTAACATGTGTACATATATATTACGGTCAATGTATTGAATTTGAGTATAATATAAAGAACGCTAAGAGGATTTGGTCAATCTAGAAAAATACACTTTGATTGGCTATGTTTAAAGCATTTGAGATAGGGGGTGACGGAAAGAAAGGGTGAAGTTATTTTAAGCTTTTATAAGTAAAACAAATCGTGGATTTTTTCCATTTTTCAAAATCTTTTTTAGGATTCAGGATAAAACCCTGATTTTCTCAGGGTTATATCAGATTGAAACGAATAGTATTTAGTTCACAGCAGACTAGAATTTAAGTAAGAGAGTTGTGAGAGAAGGGGGGAGAAGGGTACGATGAGATTTCTTGTTACAATACATACAAACTATAATTACTATTATTAACTACTATAATATGCACGGTCAATGTATACATGTATTATTTTATTAACTGTAATATATAGATAGCTTTTTTTTAATTATCAAAGCATTGTTCTCGAAATGAGTATTGTTATTTTTTTTTCTTCTTATCTTGTTTATCTTCTTTTTATTTTTATTCTATTGTCCTCTCCCTCTTTCTCTTTCTTATTAGTTCTATCTTTTTATCTTTCTTTATATCTATCTATATAATATCAATTTTATCTATTAATCTATTATGTTTTATTTTCTTTTTTCTTATACGACGACAATTTAGGTAATCTTTATGTGCCATAATAAACGCAACCTATTGTAACGCTGGATCGGTCTTCATTAATCACTACCGGCAAATAACAATGACTCTGATAAATGAAAAAAACTTAAGCATTTAGCACTTGCTTCGATTAAAAATATCAACCATTGTAATCTCTTTTTTATTTTTTTTCTTCTCTTTTTTCTTCGTTTCGTGATAAAACGTTCGACACAACACAACGTTGAACAATTATGTAATTTAAAAAAAAAATAATACATTCTTCTTCTTCTGGCAATTTTGTTACTAGATGTTTTAACGCGTATTTATAGATTTTTATTGGATTTAAAGAAAAAATGTAATATAATTGGTATCGTATTAATAATAAAATTCTCGAATGATCGTGTTTTTACGTAAAATATATATATATTTTTTAATATAAATTTCTTATATCTATGTCAATAAACGATCTTACCTTATTACTTTTTCTGATAAAGAGATACAAAATGATAGAATTCAAAGATACGGAAATCATTTTTATAGAATGTTGTCATTCGTTAATGAAAAAATTCGACTTTTAATGTTATTTTTCTTGATCGTATCTTATAATCTTTATAGCAAGGGGTTCTCAAATTATTTGCTTGAAAATAGATCAAAATGTTTTCACGATGTCCTATCATCATGAATAATCTCAAATTAATAGTGATAATTAATATTTTTGTAAAAAAACGAAAAAAAAATGTAAATACAACACATATCAAATTATAATTATTAACAATAGTTCAATTAACAAAAAATACTTAATTTTATATGCGTATAATATATGGGGGACGATAATGCAGTGCATAGTAAAAAATAATTATTGTCATAAATTAAAAACGATTATGATATGTTATAAAACTATTATATATTTTTTCTCTTGTTTTTTTTTTTCTCAAATGTTTTTATCGATTTGATTTTTGAATAAAACCTTTTTTTTTTCTTTTCCAATTTTTGGCTCATCAAATATTTCGAAATTTACAATTTAGCTCGCTTAGGGAAAACCATGGGAACCCCCATGGGTTAAAGAAATGTTTTTCATCGAGGAAATGCTATAATGAACATTTTTTTTTATTCAAGTCTTATTTGCATTTGATATTATCGACTTTCGATGCTAATCCAGATTACTTTTTTTATATTCTCATTCTTTTTCTTCTTTCTATTTTTCGTATTAATACTAAATTTACTATGACCGATTTATAATGGGAAAATGTCCATTGGGTGGTTTTAATGTTTTATTTTTCTTGCTAATGCTTATATTTTTAATTCTTAACGATTTTGATTTTAATTAATGAACGTTGTTTAAAGAAATAAAAACGTTTACGTAATCCTCGTTATTTAAATAATTAGAACGAAATAATATGCAATTTTGTACCGATGATCTTTGTATTTATAGCATGTATTAAACAAAGAACAAAATTTTCCTCGTTATTTATTTTAAGAACTGAAAAATAAATTGAACATTTTAGCTATTATATTTCCCAACCAACCCCTGTTCCCTATAATAATGCAACTTATTTCTTGGAAGTTTTTTATTTTGTTAATACAATATATGTAAATAAAGGAAATATTTAAGTGAGACATTCCGTGTATTTGGAATATTCAAACGATACTTCTTTAAAATTTCAATTTATAAAATTCATAAAAAGTATTACGAACGTTTCATGGAAGACGATATAGTTATGTAAGATTATTTTTAATTTTAATTTTGTTTTTTTCAATTGCAGCAACGCGAAAGATGGTATTAAATCTTTCACGTATTTCAAATATTTGTAAATAAATTTTCTAAAGATTTTATGAATTAAAATTCTACGAGAAATTATTTACGTTTCATGGAATGACCAGTAAATTTCTGTACGATCATTTTTCATTTTATTTCTTTCTTTCTTTTTTTTTAACGATTTACTCATATAAAGCAAACAAAAGATCGTTAGAATTTCATTTATTTTCTATTACTTTTATTCGAATCGAATTGAGTAAAACATTTTAAAATAAAAACTAAAGAAAATTCGTGTTAAAATTTTAGGTTAAGTTTGTCGGTATCGAATGTATAATAAATATGTTGATATTAATGGAAAATTTTGATTCGTCGATTGTTGTTGTTGTTTTTGTTTCATCGGGAATGCATACTAATGGTTTAATATTATTGGAACTTCTTGGTATGATAAAGGTATGCCAAGGTTTCTCCAACTTCGTATTATTCGCTGTGTATATTCGCATTGCTTTCAAACATTCCTCAAGCTGCTTCAAGTGCCTCACGCAAAAGCCCTCTCACTTCCATCAATTCTCTTCTAAGTTTCTCGATATTCGTCTTCTCAATTTCTCTAGTTTTCTTACGAAAATAACGTTGCACCAATTGCATCATAACTTGTGCAAACGTTTCATCCTTTTCGTTATCTATCGTCTCCTAAAAGAATATTTTTCAATCAAATAAATTTATCTAAGATTTTCATTAGAATTCAATACTGTTATATCGTTTATATTTATATTTTCTTTTTCTTTCTTCATTGAAGTACCAATAAGTAAAAATTTAAATAAAAAAACAATAAATTAAATAAACTGATCATTAAGGCGAATATATATTTTTATTATTTTATTTTATATTATTTATTATTAATAATGATGATATAATAATAAATCTTGAAGATAAAAAAAAGAAAGAAAAAACGATCCAATAACCAATTTCCAATATCTTTTTCGTTTTGTTTCGTTAACAATACATATATTTTTTTTATTTCGAAGATCGAATTTATCCCCCCTCCCCTGATCTTATATTGTATTAATATTATATCTATCTCACAGTTTTATCGTAAAGTCCTTGAAAGTAATCCTCCATTTTCTCCTTACCCTAACCTTTTTTTTGAAATTACCATAAAGTGTAACATGTAATTCTACGGTACTAACGATATAGCAACACTGCATGAAGTCCCAGCGGGCTCGTTTATTGGTTGGCGGCTTGACGAGTACCTTCACGTATTCGACGATCGTTTGAAAGCCATCGAAAGTGGGAATTATGTTGAAGGGTGGTGGTAGGGTGGTCATCAACATGAAGTCGACGTAAACCTACGTAGAGAGAAACTTTTTCTTTTTTTTTTTTTCTTATTATTATTATTGCACGTATGAGACTACTTTTGTAAAAAGTTTTATTCTCTTAACCTCGGTTCTACCAAAGGTCCATTCGACGATGACGTTATCTGTGACCTTGGTGAAGGTATTGGTCATACAGGCAATCAACATATTGAGAACAACCACCACAGAGATGAATTCAAAACCTTTTGGGAACAAATTTTTATATTTTTATTTAATGTTTATTACACATTTAAATGTTGTTCGGGTTTTTTTTTTAACAAAATTTCATTAACAACGATTTTATTACGATAATGATCATCAAAACGTAATATCGTTTTTTTTTTTTAATATTCGAATTACTTTTTGAAAAGTTAATATTAATTTTAATAAATAATAGGTCAACATTTATAAATTAAAAATTTTTTTTTCTTTTGAATATTGTGTTCTGTTGATTTTTGTTTCTTTTTCTTTTTATATTGGATCTAACTTACCGAAGAACTGTAAGTATATACATATATATATATATATATAAAGTATACTAAATAAATTAAAGTATTCCATATCCCCTATCCATCACATAGATGTATGAAATATTATGAATTATCGATAATTTATTAATGTAATATAATTCTATATAGGAAATAAGATTAATCGAATTAATATGATCGAAATAAACGAGCACGCGTAACGTATACACATTTTGACGTGCGGTTAATTAATCAAGTGTCGAGAATAAATTAGAAATATTACTTAATTACTTGCAAAAGCGATATATCCAATAACTTCAGTAAACGTATGATGGTTTATAATAGTTTCCGTGTCGTTGTCGCTTGGTAAATTTTCAATAATTACGTCAGCACTCTCGATAGGTGTCATACAAAATACCGCCCAAAAAAGTGTCTTCAAACTGGATGGAAAATCAACGAACGAGCTGACCTGTTGTATCTTTATATTACTTCTATCTATTTGTACCATGTCGTCATAATACTGATATAATTTGCACAAACCTTAAAAGAAGAAAAAAAATATAAATCAAAGAAAAATTGGTTTTTCAATGAATTTTGTAGAAAAATAAAAAATCCAAAAAAACCAAGATGAAAAAATTACCAGACGTGAATGCTAAAAGAACTATGGCAAATATGACGATGAATTTAGCTACGTCATGTATCATCTTTCCAAGTGAGAGTTGAAGTGGACCAAGGTGATAATTCAACTGACAAAGGAACATCAATCGAAAGAAGGCCATGATCGTCGCTAGACAAAAAATACCTTCTCCGATCAATGTTGGATCATATTTATGCCAATATTTTCTCTCTAAATCGCGTTGTCCGTTAATCCTGACGTCTATAGCTGCGTCTATCCAACAGATAAACGTCAATACGAACAGGAAGATCATACATGTCTCGTACCTAAAAAGATCGAATGATTCATCAACCGATCATTCATTTGCTGAGCAATTGAATATAAAATACGATCGAAGAATGAATTACCAGTTCCATGGTGCCCTGAAGAATCTTCTTGGACCGTGCATTATGCAAAGCCGAATGATCGACCATAAATATGATATCACGTAAATGGCTAAAATTGGTTCGTATCCTTGAATGTAAAAAAATAAAATTCAAATTTCAAATAATAATAATAATAATAATAATAATAATAATAATAATAATAATAATAAAAATAACAACGATAGTTATCGTTTATTATCGTTATCAATTGTTCATAAATAAAGAATTGATTTTAATACCTGTATCAGGTGGTCCACGTAATTGAGTATTTTTATCGGTATTGGAAATAAGAAATACGATAATAAGAAAAATGAAATAACTTGCAACAGAATGAAGAAATTTATTAACAGGGCTTGATAAAAATTTCGCTATTTTTGTATTGGGTAAGATTAGAATGATCAAAGCTATCAATGGTAATAAAATTATTCTAAATAATACGGTCAAACATTGGACCCAAGTTTTTCTCATTCTCCATTCGTACCAGTCGTCCACCCATTTATTACCGATCATCTGTTCAATTTTTAATAGATTTTATTTTTTGTTGTTCTTGTTATTGTTAAAAAGATAAATCCAATTTATTCGTAAGAGATAAATGTGCCCATAATTATGAAAGTGGTTTAACAATAAGTTTTTCTCTTGTTTCGAGATATTTAAAGAATTATATTTGAACACTAAATGAATTCTTTATAATATTTAAATAATAAACACTATTTGACAATTCATTTTTGACAAATTACATTGAATTTATTTAGTTTCAAATAATGTGGTGTGATATAACCGATAAACTCATTTTTTGTTGAAATTTTAACTTACAAAACTTTTATAATTATGAGCACTCAAAAAATTGAACCAAAATAAAATGAAAAACCTCTTGAACATTCGGATGAGCGACAAAAGTTTTTTGCTTGTAATCAAGGGCCAATAATAGACGAGGATAAACGAATCTAGAAGATCGAGAAAAACCTGCTGTTTTTTTCAACACAATTTCCACTTCCTGAGCTTTTCTAGCACATCCGATCAGATCCTTAGCGAATTCTGATAATTCCTATTGGAATTGAACGAAATTAAAACATGCAAATATCTGTGTAGTTATTCTTTTTTTTCTATTCTATTTCTTCAACTTAACTATATATATATATACATATATATATATAATTCTAATTGGAATGGGCTTGATACGGGAAGTTTGTATTATCGAAACGGGATTCGATTGACCTCGGATAGTTGGATGTATTCGTTATAGAACTCCCTGTCGTAGGATGCAGCCATTTTTAGCTCGATCGAAAGATTAAAAGACGCGAGAATTGGATCTTCCTCGGTCAAACAGATATAGGCCGGATTAGATATAGCTCGATAGAGAAACATACGTTTTCGATCCACCGTTAAACTGTCGTATAATTCACGTTCTCGTCTGTTAAAGACGCATCACCATTCGTAAAATATCTAACGTATAAAAGTGAAGTAATGGTGGGGGTATGGGGATGGGGATAGGGATAAAAATAGAAAAGAGTAAGAGTTAATGTGATGATTGAATTAAATAGAAAATATGTCAAAGTAAGATTTGAACATTATTAAACAAACGGTACCTGCAAACGTTCAAACAATTGCAATTGGGTGGATGTGGTCGTTGAATTTTGTGAAGTCTTTGTTCGATCAGATATTGTATGATCTCGTAATGACCGTATTGTGCTGCTATAATTAATGGTGTTGCCTCGTCCGGAAAATCAGAGCTATGTGTTACACTGGCGTATTCCAAGCCTGGAGATATCTCGTTTAATTTGTCCAAAATCATTCCGACTATCTTAATCTCGTTTTCTCTGATGGCATAGAGATGAGCGTCTCCTGGATCAATCTCAGGTTGGGAAAGTAAAAATTTTACCATAGGTGCGTTCTTTTCTTCAATGGCTATATGCAAAGCTGTAATACCCTAGAAAATAAATTGTATTTTTTTCTTTTTTTTTATTATTATTAGAACCATTAAACTGTACTATTTTGTCCAATTGATAAATTATTTTAACCAATATATATATCATAGATCATAAGTGCCGAAACAAAAAAAGAAAGATTATTTAGTTCGTAGCCTGTTAAGATGATTTATTAACAAGATCCTTATATCTCCTGTTAGTTATGATTTTTCCTTATAATGTTCATAGATCCTTTTTTTTTCACCCATAATTTTCCATGTTCCTTGCTAATACTTAGAAAAAGATAAAAGTCTAACATAAAAATGGGGTTTTCTTTCAATCATGGCAAAGGGAAACCGACATTGGCCACCTACGTAGAATGCACCTACGTAGTATCAAAGAAGAAGAACAAGAACAAGAAGTAAAAGAAGAAGAAGAAGAAGAAATGGAAAGGATCCCGGTTGCGGGACGTGTGTAAACCATTTGTCGAATCCGATTCGGTTCAATAAAGGCGAGGAGGCGCAAGCCAGGGATTCTCTTTTTCTTCGACACTACGAGAAGAGAGATTCTCTTAAAAAAAAAGAAGACCACAGAGAAGAAAGAGAGAATAAGAGAGAGAAAAAAAAAGAAGGAGACACAGGACGAAGTCGAGTGATGTTTTTTATGGACCACTTAAAAGAAGAAACCACCGCTCGAAACGAGAACGATTTCTAACCAGAAGAAAAGTTTTTTGGGGTTTTCGGGTGAAAACATCAACCATCTAACGATAAATTCTATTTCTTTCTTTCTTTCTCTCTCTTTCTCTACTTTGTCTTAATATTTATATCCTACTACTCTTTTATCCTAACGTGTGATTCCAATACGAAAGTTAGATAACGTCGTGAATGGTAACTTATACGCCCATTTTTATATCTTTCGGGTTATAAGCGAGTGTTAAATGATCGATTATCAGTTTGTGCACAAATTTTATTATTACAAATAAAATAAACAAGTTTTAATTTTTGTAACGTTACAATAAAAAAAAAAATTATGTTTTATTTGATACGATCAATTTCTAATTAGAGTAAATCAAGCAGATGGTTTTATATAAATATATATTATATATTAATTATATTATGTTATTAATTTTCTGAATATAATTATATATTAATATAATTAATTGTTTAAATTAAAATACAATAGATAGGATTACGGTCTAAATTATTTGATATACAATGATAGAATAAGAATAACATTAAAGAAATATTTCCTTAAAT